CGGTCTGAATGTTTTACGTAAAACGTCTGCACACAAATCTAATTTACATATCATTACATCCTTCAGCTATAGGACAATATGTTGTTTGCTCAAAATGTTTGTAAACCGGTCAAATACATTTTTCATTGCACACTACATTTACATACTTTTTTACTATAACAGAATTGTTGGCATAGCACTGTCTGCTTTTCAAACAAGTCTCATATTTGTAATGAAATTTACAGCGTAACAACAAGTACCATCTTTTAACATCTTTTGATCTGATGCGAATCAGCTGCACCGTGTGAATGCTCCTATACATGGTGTGTGACTTCCATCTCTCTAAACTTCAATAGATGTAACTAAGTGAATACAGTAGAAGGTAATGTAGTAGGGCTGGGACGTGTAACTCGGTTCAGGTGGGTCCTAAGTAGGATCCGTGTACCCACAGGACTACCCGTACCCGTGGTTAGTCACGTGATATATTGTTTAATGACAAAAACTCACTATAGCTCAGTGGTTTCACTACAAGTCGCCAATGTTCCCATTTCTTTATGGTGATGCACACATTCCTCTTGACTTGTACATGTTTGAGTGAATATAAAGCTTCAGTCAACTTCAGTGTACACATGATCTGATCGTTTGATACATTTATCTAAATAGTTTATGCCAGGGCTGCATTAAAACTATTCCCAATCAGACATTTTGGACCAAACTCTTGAGACCTACAGCAGGTTGGGTAATAGAGGGTCGGGTAATAGGGGGTCGGTTAATAGAGGGTCGGTAATAGGGGGTCGGGTAATAGAGGGTCGGTAATAGGGGGTCGGGTAATAGAGGGTCGGTAATAGGGGGTCGGGTAATAGAGGGTCGGTAATAGGGGGTCGGGTAATAGAGGGTCGGTAATAGGGGGTCGGGTAATAGAGGGTCGGTAATAGGGGGTCGGGTAATAGAGGGTCGGTAATAGGGGGTCGGGTAATAGAGGGTCGGTAATAGGGGGTCGGGTAGTAGAGGGTCGGTAATAGGGGGTCGGGTAATAGAGGGTCGGGTAATAGAGGGTCGGTAATAGGGGGTCGGGTAATAGAGGGTCGGTAATAGGGGGTCGGGTAATAGAGGGTCGGTAATAGGGGGTTGGGTACCCGGGTAGTAAATTTGGGCTTATCGCAGCCCTAGTGAATAGCTAATGCACAGTGACCCCCTTCTTTCCTTCTTTCTTTGACTGTAAGATCAAATCATTTCGATCTCCATAATACCTATCTTAGGACATCTTCCAAAAGGCAAGTGAGTTAACTGACTATAAAAGTCCAGTTTCCACCCTTGCCGAACTAGGCTGGTATTATGGAGTTACATTTTGGCTGGACTAACGAGTCTATGCATAGTCCAATCAAAATCGCACACTGAAATCAAAATCCGGTTCGTAAAGTGCTCACATGATTTGATGCACTTCGCGATGTAAGACTCGTTTTATCACAATATAGATCTTGATTATCAATCAGATCGTCTTGACTGGGCGCCACCGTTTTGTTTGAAGCAAATGCAAGTGATACGAGAGGTTGAATCTGATTGGTCCATAGGAGAGGACATAACTCGTAATAGCCACTGGTGGCGCTACGATCGAGCCCAGGAATTCCAGCCTAGTTCGGCAAGGGTGGAAACTGGACTTTTAAAGTCAGTTAACGCTCTTGCCTCGGGAAGATGATCTCAGGAAAGATAAAATCTTCTCATGCAGAACAGAGGACATCCTTCAGCCAATTTCTGTATACCGTTATATACAATGTACTATTGAACAAAAACATGGATGTCAACTTCTTATTTTAAGATGTTTGCTTGCTTCACATGATTAAACCAAATCAGATTGGCTATCTAATTTTTTAAATCTGAAGTTTGGTGTTGAATGAATAATATTACCAGTATATCTCCTCATGAACAGAACATCAGAACTATTTCTCTTGTACATTCCGCCCAAAAGAATATTTAGCACTGCACTACCCACAGATAGACATATAAGGTATATAGTTTGCAGGGGTGGACACCATTGGTCATATCCAACTAGTCTGCAGCCCATTTTGGACTAGTGGTCATGTAAAACAAGCATGAAATACTCATATCTCCTGCCAATATGACATGTCCGGTTGCTATAGAAACACACACCAAGTTGTTTTTTTTAAATCCCAAACTATCAAAAGGCACCAGTTTACCACTAGACCTATCTATGAGCCAAGTTTGGTGAAGAAATATTATACATTTTTCAAGATCTGCTCCAGAAGGAAGCACACCCGCCATATTCAGTAAAAGTCAAAGTCATTGCCATGGAAACTCGAAAATATAATTTTTTCAAAAATCCCAAACTATCAAAAGACACCAGTTCACCACTGGACATTTGTATGTGCCAAGTTTGGTTAAGATATCTCTCATGATTTTTTAGTTCTGCTCTGGAAATGAAATGTGAGTGAGTGAGTATGGTTTTACGCTGTTTTTAGCAATATTCCAGCAATATCACGGCGGGGGACCAGAAATGGGCTTCACACATTGTACCCATGTCGGGAATCGAACCTGGGTCTTTGGCGTGACGAGCTAACGCTTTAACCACTAGGCTAACCAACGTCCCCTTAATGAAATGTGAAGGACGGATGGACAGCACCCATTCCAATATTCCCCTTTCACTTAGTGCCAGGGGTTAATAACTAGAATTTGGGATAAAACAACCACTCAAACTAACAGACTAGTGTCCGTGTCTGTCCATGGTTTGTTTGGAATCTGTTACGGATCATGGTGAGGAGGCGGTGTTTTCTGCACATACGCAACCCTTACACACACACACAAAAAATATTATGTTTTAAAGTGTGCAGTGATTCAGATTAACAAATAATGAACTGGTTGCGGCCTTAAAATAACCTGAGTACACAGCATTCAGAGACACAGTACCAGCCTATCACATGTGTATTTACATACTACATGAACCTGGTTATGCTGTTGAACATGATGCCCCCTGTCAACTGGGCCTGAGTGCTGGACAGAACAGTGAGATGACGCTTATAGAGTTATCAGCTGACATTTGGAATTGTTTCAGGCAAGGATGATTTGATCCAAACAAAAACGGTTTTAAGAATCCTATCAACTTTGCCTTTCTGGCCTACTAAAGTTGCTGATAAGAATGCCTTTTGTCAATGGCAAACAACGATCATATGGCGGATCCAGATGGCGGTCCGGACCCCCCGCCCCCATTTTGAAATTAAATGTAGTATGTTGTAGACAATCCCCACCCCCCACAAACACTGAGCGAGGATTTTGATATTTTTGACCCATCCCTTTTAAAAATTACAAGTCTGCCGTTGTATCACAAAAATGAATTTAATTGTTTCAAGCACTTTGGCCAAGACAAGAATCATGTGGAATTGGTGCCATTCTTAGTCCTGCAGCATATTGCATGTGTACTGTGTCCCACGATAGCATGCCACACCTTCCCCATGAGGTCTGTTCCTCCCCGTACAGCATACTACACTTGTCTCAGACCCAATAACACCCATGTGAAAGTAATTGTCAAGAAAACAGAATGAACATTCATGAGTAAACTAACCTCAAATTGATCCGAAACATTTTTAATCTTTTACAAACTGAAAATGACATACCGTATTCGACGTAATAAGCGCCAACGGCGACATTTGCTAAGATATTGGCCAGTGAACAATCCCAATTAGCACCCCTTCCGATTGATCAATGTACACAAGACTTATTTATTCACGTATAATACGCACTCGTGTGTTATATGCACCCTTAATTATGGGCATTTAATTCTGGAAAAATATATCTGTCGTACATAAACATTTCAGGCTGTCAGCATAAACCACGAAATTTATCTTTCAACTCTGTATTTTTCACCAAAATAACATTCTTATAAGAGCCCCCTATTTCTAATTTTGAGAGCGCCCTGGGCGCTTATTACGTTGAATACAGTACCTATTTACTTTATCAACATTAACATCAGCATCTATATATGACTGACACCTAAATTAATCACACTGGTTCCATTTATCTAAAAAAACAGTTTTGCTTTCTGTTATTTTTTGTTTGTTCAATGATCCAAACCAACATATGTACAAAAGTTGGGAAAATAGAAATACACTGATCATGTGAGCTGTCTGGTAACTAGGAATCATCCAGTTTGCAATCTGACCTATGTTATGTTCCATGTTGGATTTAGAACCATAAACAGCTCAAACTATATTTTGCTGTAAAATACAGTCAAATAAAAAATCCCAACCAAAAACATATATATATATGTGTCCACGAGCTCAGGCTTACAGTACTTTCCATCCCAGTGTTCTACCAATCTGACATGAACTAGGTGTGAATGAGTGAATGCAATCAGCAATTATTCCAGCTGTCACCGTGGGCTGTATAAACCACAGGAGTGTTTCGTCCATGAATATACATGAATGTTGATACAAAGTCCTGCGAATATACAGGCCTTTGCAAAAACAACTGTGATTGATAGTTTTGTGATCATCCTGTCTTTTTAGTCATCACAAAACAATGGGGTACTACGGATCATTTCACAGGGAAGGTTTCTAATTAAATCAGGTTGACAACAAGAACAATGTTTCAAAATCAAACCATTGCCACCTACTCCAGAGAGAAGCTGAATGAGGCTAATCGTTTTGTTATTGTTTATAAATTATGGTCTCGTCATCAAGTTAGTTTAGGATTTTCAAAGTTATTTTACTAGATTTACATCACAAAATCAAAGCCGAACAGAATGCATTCCGACTTCAGGTGTCCCAGCTGTGATAGATATGCCACTCATAATACGGCCGTGTTAAACGACCGTTTAGAAATTAATCGTCACCTGGACGGGTCCCTGATAGACATTGTACAGCATGCACATGCTCGTTGTCACGTTCCACCGCGAGGTACCGAAAAGATGTCATCATTGACAGGAATTAACGGCATCTGTCATAATCTGTGATTACACGTTGGAATTAAATGGTAACTGCAGTAGTGAGTGAAATGAAACGACATATTACCTGCGGAACAAGTTTGTTTACATGTTCAACCTGTCACGAAGTGGACACATCACACTCGCCATTACTCATTCAAGCCCCGGATGACGGGATTTTCCTTCTGTGACGTCATCAAATGTTGTCGCCGACAGGGATCCCCAGTCGTTGGGTGACCAGTTTCGAGTTTCACCTTTTCATTCGTCACAGGTTTCTTTTCAGAATATAGGCATTGTTCTTATACTTATGTAGACTCTGATCTTATTGATCACTGTCGATATGTACTATTATTAACAAATTGTCTTTGAAAGTTAAATTATTGTATCGTACGTGCATAATGATATAAAGAGACATAAATCCGGTCTTTTTCTTGACTGAAGTACTTATATTGCGTGTGTATTTTCATATCATAAATGGTTTTACAAGACCATGTGAGGTTGATAAGATGTTAAGTAGCTCGAGTCCACATAGTCTAATTATTCAAGCACATTTAACACGTTTAATAATTAGTTTTACATAAACGTGTAAATTGAAACGCAGTCATATTGTGTGAATCAAGTTGTTTGGTGAATTAATGAGTAAATTCATACTAAACTCGGCAAATAAATCGCTGTGCTTGATTTAATCAAACTTGTGTCCCTGAGCGTTCAGAGAGGATCACGGTTTACTCTCGTTCTTGTACAAAATACAATTACTAACAAACTCATTATTCAGTATTTTTATTACCAAATTCACGAAATATATATCATGACATTCTATGTCAAAACAAACATGACATGTTGGTACAAATTGTGACGAGTCAACAATGATCGATAAAAAGGCAATGTATTTCTCCTCGAACACACTTGCAGGTAATAGGATCAAGTCAATATTTCACTTGACAAACAGCGTGATGATGAATGGACAATGTCAATGAGCACGGGTGGAATATGATATTCCACTAAAGTCAATGAATGAATGAATGGATCATGATGATGATGATGATGACGATGACTGAGATTATGTTCAACACAAAACAGTCGATGCAACGAATGACAGGAACAGCCCAAGCGACTGCCATGAATCCGTTGATAGGGCAGCGAAAGTCACATATTGGTTATATGAATCAGTTGATCACTTCTTGGCCGCTGCCTTCTTCTTGGGGGATTTCTTAGCTGCCTTGGGTTTGGCAGCCTTCTTTGCTGGAGATTTCTTAGCTGCTTTAGGTTTGGCTGCCTTCTTTGCTGGAGATTTCTTAGCTGGCTTGGGCTTCTTGGCCTTCTTGGGGGTAGACTTCTTTGCTGTTTTCTTTGCCTTGTCAGCCTTGGGTTTAGCTGCCTTAGTTGCTTTCTTTGCCTTGGGCTTCTTCGCCTCAGATTTATCACCAAGCCTGAAAGAACCAGAGGCTCCAGTTCCCTTAGACTGCTTCAGACTGCCGTTCTTGACTCCGGCACGGAGGGCCAGTTTCAAGTGATTGTTGACAGTCCTCTCATCGGGACCAACTTTGAAGTTCTTCATGATATATTTCAACAAAGCCTGACGTGAGGAACCACCCCTTTCCTTAAGACCGCTTATTGCGTCCCTGATCATCTCACTGTATTTGGGATGAGAAGAAGGCTTCTTAGGGGCAGCCTTCTTTGCTGCCTTCTTGGCGGGAGCTGGTGCTGCGTCAGTCATAGTGGTTTCTTACAGAGTGGTTACTAACACGAAGTTGTGTACCGGCTGTGGAAGTGCGAATGAAGCCCGCAAACGCCACACAAGCTTTATGCCTAGCGCGCGGACGTCGGAGAAGACAACCAATAGAAGTCAGTGCGCTACAGCTGGTCTCATTTTAGTTGCCGGCAGTTGTGTTTGTGTACCTCTGTTTGGCCTCTGTTTTCACAGATAGTGATACCCGTATCGTAATCAAAACGCATCCACATCCAAGAGGACATAATAAAGTACCTTTGTGAACAACAATATGCTTTTCCCTTCATCGATCAATTAGTTCTTACAATTTAAACACGCAGATAAGTGTTGACAATGAGGTAGGTGCACTCGATTTAATCGTTGTGCATTCAGTTTCCCTGCAACATATTAACATAAACGGCAAAATATGGTTACATAAATGGACCCTTCCAATGTTGACACTAAAACTAACATGTGTCATTCTACTCTAATGTAGTAATCACGCGTTGAAGATGGTATTACTAGCACAGATATTCCTTATCGTCCGCCATTTTCCTGCTTCGTCGATTTGCAATTATCGTCAAATTCGCCAAATAAAAGCTCATTAATGCAATTCTGTGATGTTTTGTGAATATTTATATAATTTGCAAACACGTTTGAGTTCCTATGGAATAATTGTAGCGTACAATATGCACAAGGTCAGTGGAAAATGTTGATGACGGAGTGTAACCTGCCACGTTGAAAACAACACATTTTTCCCAATGGCAAATACTGCCACTTGTGACAACGCATATTTTCGTTGCAAAACAACAGCATATTGTTGATTAAATACAATGCATTTCTAAATTAACATATAAGTTTGACAAAATTATTTTGAAAAGTTCCCATACAGGAAATATGTAGTTATATAAAGCCTCAACCGCCCTATACAATCGGGCATTCATTCGTATATGCACATTCGTACACATCAGTATTTCTCGGTATCAGTATGTATGTGTCATGTCTAATATTTGATAAAAACAACGTCTGTTTTAAACTCTTTCTGAATATTGATATTCGTAATAGTTTAAAACTAAATTCCAAATGGATATGGAGTTGAAAACATATTGACAAAGTCGAAAATTTGCGTGCATACCATGCATGTCTTAGTGGAATATTTTCACTCAGCTAAATAACGATTCTGTGGGATATGTTTCCTACATTTGGTACAATTAAAACATTTGTTTCAAATGGAGGAATGTATTTTAATATGAAAGAACTAAAATACAAATCATTATCCAACATAAACACATAATTAAGGCAGTTCCCGTCACTCGCCAGTATATAACTATTTTTAGCATATATGACGCGGTGACGTCACATATATACATGATGACTATGACGACAAGGTGTCTTCAAAAGTAGTCTCTTATCATGATAACATTTAATCGTTTTCATTTTCTGGCCAAATTAATGTCTAAATGCGTGAATTTTAAAGGAGTATATATTTTCACCGGAATAAAGATAGGTTTTTTGGCATCATAAATCTTTTGTATATAGTGTTATTATGATGCTTGTCAGAAATGGTAATTAAGAAGCAGTGATTTATTAAGTAGGTTTCATGGTCGAAGGATTTTGGACCTTGAAAGTGAGCGAGTGAGTGAGTTGTCGTATGTGCCGCTTTGAACAGTATTTCAGTCATAAACCGCCGGCATGCGGAAGGAAAGCTCATAGTTATGCAGGTCGTGGATGCATTTAAACTAATGTGTGTGTGTGTGTGTGTGTGTGTGTGTGTGTGTGTGTGTGTGTGTGTGTGTGTGTGTGTGGTATTTTACTGACGAATCAAGGATCATACTCGGGCCGAATCTGGGATGCAGCCGCGCATGCAGTGACTGCTTTAGCCTTAGACGACCTATTGTTTTGAATTTAAAAAAGTAAAGCCACATGGTACAATCTGTGATCGGTTGTCATAAAATTCCATCTTTATTGTTATCTTTGCTGTGAAAAACATGTTTTTTTAAAGATTTATATTAATTTAAAGTCGGATCGACAGTTATAGAGGGGAATAGTAAGACTTTTCTACTATGTGTAAGAGAATATCGAAAATGATTTACGAAAGGTCGATTTATTTAGTAAGTTACTGGTCCAAAGTAACTTTTAGGAACATCGGGCGATAGACATGTACGTCTCGGAAGCCCCTGCTATCTGATACGTTTTACAGGTGACCTTGACATATTATCTCTGACAGATTTAACACTTGATCTCTGGGAGACTTAGCATATCATCTCTGGGACACTTGTTGTTTGTTTTTTAACGCCGCGCTCGGCAATATTCCAGCTATATGACCGCGGTCTGTAAATAATCTGGACCAGACATTCCAATGATTGATATCATGAGCATCGATCTACGCAATTGGGATACGATGACATGCATCAACCAAGTCAGCGCGCCTGATCACCGATCCCGTTAGTCGCCTCTTACAACAAGCATAGTCAGTCGCCTTTTACGACAAGCATGGGTTGCTGAAGACCTATTCTACCCCGGATCTTCACGGGTAACATGACATCTGATTTAAGAGACTTGCTAATCTGATTCTTGTTCTAGTGATTCAGGTGTTGATCAGGTGTTCCTTGCTCTTCTGAGACGGTTGGCTGTGTTGTCAAGCTTAGTCTGTGTAACAATACTGAAGCTACAATCACGAGCTGGCATACACTGATTGTTGCCATGTGGGCCTTTGAATCAGAACTCTTCTTTTTCCCAGTTAATCTGTTCCGGATTTATGTTTCCAAAACCAAAGTATCGATGGTTAAAAAATAAAATAAGGATTTTTAGATAAATAATTCAGGTTAGGTGAATATTGAACATTAAAATAAAAGATATGGTAGTGTTAAAATTTTAATTGACAAATGAAATATTACTTTGGCCTCGGCAGGAAGGGGAAAATGTCTGTTGTCAAACGTTTAACTTATTCCACATTCGTGATTGTCTTTTTATCACCAGCCTCAGTCAGTATTTGTCGAAAGTTTGGTGAGTCTTAGTCAAAGTACTGTAGTTTTCTCACCAGGACGTTACAGATCAACGTTTCTACTTGTGCTAAAAGCGGGTGAGTGAATTTTCATCCAAACAATTTCTATGTAACAGTGACATGCGAACAACATACTACGTGAGCTAGTTATGTGTCATACATATAGGTGTACTGAATCATCATATTCGAACGAAATAAATACATTCAGAATCTTACACATCCGAATATAGTACCTGTATTATCAGCACGTTTTGTATATAAAAAGAATTAGTCGTAGAAAGGAAGTATCGTCCTCTGTGACACATAGAACATTGCATCGAGAAGCTAGGAACAGTGTGCACATGAAGTCAACATACAATGAGTCTTGTATAACACCAACAATGGTGTCAATATTACGTCAACAATGGTGTCTGTATTACGTCAACAATGATGTCTGTATTACGTCAACAATGGTGTCTGTATTACGTCAACAATGGTGTCTGTATTACGCCAACAATGATGTCTGTATTACGTCAACAATGGTGTCTGTATTACGTCAACAACGGTGTCTGTATTACATCAACAATGTTTGTATGACGTCAACAATGGTGTCTGTATTACCTCAACAATGGTGTCTGTATTACCTCAACAATGTTTGTATGACGTCAACAATGGTGTCTGTATTACCTCAACAATGGTGTCTGTATTACGTCAACAACGGTGTTTGTATGACGTCAACAATGGTGTCTGTATTACCTCAACAATGGTGTCTGTATTACGTCAACAACGGTGTCTGTATTACCTCAACAACGGTGTCTGTATTACGTCAACAACGGTGTCTGTATTACCTCAACAACGGTGTCTGCATTACCTCAACAATGGTGTCTGCATCACCTCAACAATGGTGTCTGTATTACGTCAATAACGGTGTCTGTATTACCTCAACAACGGTGTCTGCATTACCTCAACAATGATGTCTGTGTTACGTCAACAACGGTGTCTGTATTACCTCAACAATGGTGTCTGTATTACGCAAACAGTGATGTCTGTAATACGTCAACAACAGTGTCTGTATTACCTCAACAATGATGTCTGTATTACGCCAACAATGATGTCTGTATTACGTCAACAACGGTGTCTGTATTACCTCAACAATGGTGTCTGTATTACGTCAATAACGGTATCTGTATTACGTCAACAATGTGCCTGTATTACGTCAACAACGGTGTCTGTATTACGTCAACAATGGTGTCTGTATTACGACAATAACGGTGTCTGTATTACGTCAACAATGGTGTCTGTATTACGCAAACAGTGATGTCTGTAATACGTCAACAACGGTGTCTGTATTACCTCAACAACGGTGTCTGTATTACGACAATAACGGTATCTGTATTACGTCAACAATGGTGTCTGTATTCCCTCAACAATGGTGTCTGTATTACGTCAACACTGGTGTCTGTATTACGCAAACAGTGATGTCTGTAATACGTCAACAACGGTGTCTGTATTCCCTCAACAATGGTGTCTGTATTACGTCAACACTGGTGTCTGTATTACGCAAACAGTGATGTCTGTAATACGTCAACAATGGTGTCTGTATTACCTCAACAATGGTGTCTGTATTACCTCAACAATGGTGTCTGTATTACGTCAACAACGGTGTCTGTAATACGTCAACAACGGTGTCTGTATTACATCAACAATGTTTGTATTACGCAAACAGTGATGTCTGTATTACGTCAACAACAGTGTCTGTATTACCTCAACAATGGTGTCTGTATTACGACAATAACGGTGTCTGTATTACGTCAACAATGGTGTCTGTATTACGCAAACAGTGATGTCTGTAATACGTCAACAACGGTGTCTGTATTACCTCAAAAATTGTGTCTGTATTACGACAATAACGGTATCTGTATTACAACAATGGTGTCTGTATTCCCTCAACAATGGTGTCTGTATTACGTCAACACTGGTGTCTGTATTACGCAAACAGTGATGTCTGTAATACGTCAACAACGGTGTCTGTATTACCTCAACAATGGTGTCTGTATTACGACAATAACGGTATCTGTATTACGTCAACAACGGTGTCTGTATTACCTCAACAATGGTGTCTGTATTACCTCAACAATGGTGTCTGTATTACGTCAACAACGGTGTCTGTGTTACCTCAACAATGGTGTCTGTATTACGTCAACAATGGTGTCTGTTTTACGTCAACAATGGTGTCTGTATTACGCACGAACATTTCAAAGAGCGTCACATGCAACTCAGAGTGCTCACTCAAAAGGTGTTAGATCACGGCACGGGAATAGGGAGTTAAATATAAGATATGTATCGTACGAAGGATATATAATCATATATAGATATTTGTTTAAGACTTTGTATTCCTGTGATCAGGGTTTTTCCGCAAGGCTTGAGTAAATTTTATGCATCGGTGACCAAAATGATGTCTGATGCAGTTCCGTATTTTGATGTTCCCGCGTTTGTGCAGCAGAATACTTGACTTGCCTTTGCATTTGTTTAAGTTGTGACTGATGCCACGTATCAGTGAATAATACAGTTTGTGGCTTGTTTTAAATATCCCGCACTATGCCTAACAGGGGAAGATAATGTGCATAGTAACGTGAGAATTTAGAGTTACTTGCCCTTGACATGTGTTTGTCAACATGACGGAAAATCAAATGTGTCCTTCTCATGTTAGCTCTACAGCGAGTAGTATTTTGTCTAAGGTCGGATTCGAAGTTTACCCTTTTAAGGTAAGTTAAATACAAACTTTGGAACCCCAAAACACAAACAGAACACCATATTATGCCACGCATTCAAAAGAAACAACCATTCTGATTTTAACAACAGTTAAACCAAAGACGTATATACGTATATATTTGTTTTTTTTGTCACAGATGTAAAATTTGATTGGATCCTTGTGACTGGATATAACACATTTGATTTGCAAGTTACGTTAATCGATTTCGTCATATCGATGAATTCTTGAATTAAATTAGAAGATTTTGTTGTTAAGAAGCTGATCGTCAGTTTCAAATTGAACGAAATCGTAGCTATATATTGTTCTGGCGTTACTGACATGTACTGGACACTATGTCATATATATATATTAATTACCAGTAGTTGTCGTAGAGTAAGTACATAGGTATGGTTTTACCACAGGACTTGTAATGCAACATTTGGCAGTATGTGATGTGGTCACTACTAGGGCAGGGACGGGCAACTCAGGTACTTGGGTCGGGTGGGTTCTGGGCAGGACCCAGGTACCCACAGGACTACCCGGACCCGTGGCTAGTTTTTGATATATTGTTTAATGGAAAAATTATGTAGAACTCCATGGTTACACTAAAGAATAAGTCTTCAGCATCCCATGCTTGCTGAAAAAGGCACCTATGCTTGTTGTAAGAGGCGACAAATGGGATCAAATGGTCAGGCTTGCTGACTTGGTTGATGCATGTCATCGTTTCCCAATTGCGTGGATCAATGCTCATGATATCAGTCCCTGGATTGTCTGGTCCAGTCTTTTATTTACAGACCGCCGTCATATAGCTGTTATATTGTTGAGTGAGGCGTTAAACAACAAACAAACTAATGGTTGCATTTCTTTCTGACAATGCACATATTCCTTCAGACTTTTATAAATTTGAATAAAGATAAAACTTCTGTCAACTTCAGTGTATGCATGACGAGATCGTTTAATTTATAAGTGTACATCTAAATACATTTTTCCAGGGCTATGGTCAAACTATTCCCAATCGGACATTTTGTACCCATCTCTTGAGACCAACAGCGCGAAGCGAGTAGGGTAGGCAGTGCCGTAGCCAGCTGTTTTTTTTTTATATAGAAAACAGTTTTATTTGAATCGAGTTGGGGACAAGTGATACTTGTACAAATATTTGCCCCCCCTACCCCCTGTCAAAAAAAGTTAACTACGGCCTTGGTAGGGTAATAGGGGGTTGAGTACCCAGGTAGTAAATTTGGACTTGTCCCAGCCCTTGTCACTACCAGTGTCACAGTACCATGGCCTGTTATATAGTACTATGACACAGTAATCTATTTTCTTATCTTGTTGCTAATGTTTGCGCTTCAAGCCCCTGTGAGTTTTACAGGTAGACATTGTATATACCTGTAACAGTAGGAGTGCAGACTTTGGATATTTTTGTTGGCAATGAATTGTGGTTTGGAATTATACAAACACAAATGCTTGCATCGGACCCACAAATCAATAGCTAGTATAAGTTACTCTCTTTTAAGCAATTTGAATTGGAGGTGACATCTGTCTCACCTCATTTTCACCTGAAACTGAAAGCAGGTATACTGCAAGGGAGGTGACTAATTAACAGTTGTAAATTATTTTTGTCAGATTGGCTGGTACAATGAACAAGTACAAAAGGTGTTTGCCCTGCCGTACCCGGAGGACACCTTGGCATTCATCGTCATCAGTACACCAGAGATGTTTGAAAAAGCCTTCAAGCCTTTCATCTGCCGCCAGGCCTGCACAGGTGTCCGTGACCCCATCGACGAATGTATGATGCATCAATTCAGCCTCATTAAACAGGTACCTACTGTCAATCAATAGGACATTTTTCCAGCTCCAGTGTTTACAAATACAAGTAGTAGAATGAGTTTCTTTTTTTTGCTGATTTTATTATTAATGTTTTTTCACAGGTATTGTGTCTTGTGAGAATATTTCATTCAAATTTTTATTCCTCTGAAATTTAAGGCATTTGTATGAATGATCCCAGAGTGAGTGAGTATGGTTTTACGCTGCTTTTAGCAATATTCCAGCAATATCAGGGCAGGGGACACCAGAAATGGGCTTCAAACATTGTACCCATGTCGGGAATCGAACCCGGGTCTTCGGCGTGACGAGCAAATGCTTTAACCACTAGGCTACCCAACCGCCCCGAATGATCCAAGATATAATGTCTCTAAGACCTTGTCACAAATTTCCAGTCTGATTTTTGACTTGGCCACACCTGCACCGAAACTTTTTTTTCCTCACCTGAAGGAAAGTCAAGTGAGCTTATGTCTTGGCCTGATTGTCTGTCATCTGTTGTAAACATTTTTCTCCTAAAAAATCACTTGACTTTTGAAGCTGAAACTTCACCTGCTTGTTCACAGCAATTTTGACATCCCAATTTATTCATGAGGTTTGAATCTGATTTTAAATATGGTTTATTTTTAACCTTGATTTGACCAGGAAGACTATATATAGAAAGAGGGACTGGGAACTAATAAGCCGTTTTTCTATGGTATATAGTGGAGCCACTAATTAATGTGTGCCTTGCTGGCCGATGGTCAAGCTCCAGTGTGCTCATTGCCGATTCAGTGCGAGACAGTGAGAAATGGGAACACCACTGCTCGCTGGTTCCCACGGTTACTCAGAAATACACGAAAACATAATCAGGATGGTGTCAGGAACCACTGAAAACAGCTGACATTTAATCTGATAGTGTTATGTCCCTTTGTCACGGTTTACTTCCAGCTCATGATGTCTTGGTGATATCCACATCATCATAAACATAAACAACATCACTCATTTCTAATTTCAGTCAAAGGTCAACTTTCATTTACATTTCGACAACTATTCAGTTTGGCCTGCCCAAAGAATATTCCCTAAATTCCCCTATTTTAATTCATATCCAATTTCCTAAATTAAGTATTTTAAATTGTTAGAAAAACATCTGACATCACAGCTGTCATTGAAGTATAAACAAAGAGGATATTGGAAATGAATATAGATTGACCTGTGTCTGTAGATAGGAACTGTGATCTAACAATCACAAGGCATGCCCATGTAGACAGGACCTCATTAGGATTTGTGGACAATTGACCAGTCAGCATTTTGGCTGTTGTTAGAGAACATCGGTAGTAGATGCTTCATACCGTTTTTTTTAATCTTTTCAACTCCAAAATCTTCTCTTACCTTTTTAGTGGTATAAAACTTAAAAAGAAAATGTGGTATTATGCTTTCTATGTCGAAGAAGATCACCCTTTGTCTTGTGTTTCTGCTACGATAAGACTTAGGTACTAATGTGTGATTGATCTCAGCTATGGTGTCTCTAGAACCTGCTCACATACTTTTGATCCGAGTTTAAACATGGCATTCTTACATTATGTTTCAGGTGAGCTTCACAGCCTTGTAGCTCTATTTTATTATTAATTCATTCAGAATAGACTCATTTGCAATTTATGGAAAAGAATGTTGATATTTTTACTTGGTGACCTTACAGTTTTATTTCTTGCAATTCATGTCAGATTGCAATGTTTCCAGGAATTTCCTGAGGGAGAAGCTGAAACAATTCATGACTTTGAATTGCATCCAAATCGGCGCCCAAAAGTCCTTGTACAGACTGCAGGCCATGTTGCTGGGGCAGCCTACTACTACCAGGCATCTGATGTCAAAGGGAACCCTTGGGGTGACAAGGTGAGCTAAGTGGGCGGGGGAGTATACTGATACTACACATCTGATGTCAAAGGGAACCCTTGGGCTGACAAGGTGAGCTATGTGGGTGGGGCAGTGTACTAATACTACACATCTGATGTCAAAGGGAACCCATGGGCTGACAAGGTGAGCTATGTGGGTGGGGCAGCGTACTAATACTACACATCTGATGTCACATTTGAGTCAAGGGCGATCTCGTGTGACATTGGCTCTTGTCAAGCTGAGTGAGTGAGCTCTGTCTGTTCAACGACCATGCTGTTGATGTTGCTCTTCTGTCAGAGGCATGACGACATCTGACTGGTCTCAGAGATAAATAGCTATTGGGATCGATGCTCATGATATTAATCACTGGATTGTCTGGTCCAGACTTGATTATTTACAGACCGCCGCCATATAGCTTGAATATTGCTGAGTGCAGCGTTAAAAAACAAACCAACCAACCACAGATAACTAAGTGATTGTTTTTGGCCTTTGAATGCCACACTTATCAGTATTCCAGTAAAAACATGGTGAAGGTACAAACAAAGGCACCACTGTCAATCTGGAGAACTGAACCAGCTTTAACACTTGGTCACCGTACCGACACCTGCAAGCTCCTCGCAGCGACACCCTGGACACGGAGCTCTCCACACTCCGTCGCAGTGGTGACTCAGCATAACATCACTGCCATAGGCTAATTTGCATATCACGTGACCGGACTTTTCTCTTGTTTGTATTAAACACGCTTTTTCAGAAATCAGTATAGAACGGACTAATGCAAGTATTTTGGGGCGCTTTACATATTGTTTTGCATAACTATATAGATATGCTACTACAACTGCGACAGTGAGTTGCATGACAATATATATTTATGCATCAAAGTGACCGTGTCGCTAGCTCTCCGTTGGGCTTCGATGACAGCACCAGGAACCGTACAACCAATGTAAACATAGGATAACTACACAAAAACAAGTAGATTTTTACATATTTGCATACTTTCTCAATGAAAGTTAACAATTCTTTGACATTTGTTTATGAAAATGTGTAGACTTGTCAAACATGAAACGGATGAAAAGCATATGCAATATCTTGAATGGACTGTGAAAGATGTGACGAATCGTCACATGGCGCTGGCCTGTGGCAGAGGTACTATGCTAGCTGGCTGCCGGCCGCATGGAACTCTGGGTAGGAGAGTGGGAGCTCTCTATACTATCGGTGGCGCCAGGGAGGTGATGCAGGTGCCACATGCTGGGGCTGGCAAGGAGCTTGCAACACCTGATCACGCTTGAGTTGGTCCCCTCACTTGTACTATTTATACCCCCAAACTAAAAGGGTGGGGCTATATAGTTATACCAAGGAATTCTGTCCGTCAGTCCGTCCTTCGATATGTCCTTCCATGGACATTTGTGTGTGCGACCTTTTCAAATTTGATGAACACTTTTTATACCTATGGGAGAGGTGCAGTCCGAAGTTCAATTTCAATATTTGGATTTCTGAAAACATACAGCTTTTTTCATTTTTTTACTTTGAATTCTTTTACTTAAACATTTGTGCGACCTATAACAAGAAAACTTCTTCATGGATTCTTTTCCAATTGGGGGTACAGTTTCTATACCATTAGATGTGCAGTGTGAGGTTTGTTTTCAATATTTGGATTTTCTAAAAAATACAGCTTTTTTTTCATTTCTTTATGTTGATTTTTTGTCTTGAAACATTTGTTGACCTATAACTGGAAGACTACTTCATGGATTCTTTTCAAATTTAGGGAAAAGTTTTCATCTTGATATAAGAGGTGCAGGGCAAAGTTTGATTTTGATATGTGTATTTTCTGACAAGACATTTTTGTGAATTTGTTTACTTCAACATGTGTGCGACCTAACTTGAAAACTGTTTCATGGATTCTTTTCCAGTTGTGCAGTGCAAAGTTTGATTTCGATAAGTGGATTTTTCTGAGAAAATATTGCTTTTTTCATGTTTTGAACTTAGAAATACATTGGGGGAATTAATGAACCCTGTTCACTATTGTCTTGGTCAATATATTACCTTGTGTATCCATGTTTTGTTTCCATGTATGGTCTTCTTTGTAGAACTACAAGATGATTTATAAATAGACTGTATGACTGAACTTGTATGCAGTGATGTCATGCGTTTTCTGTTGCAGAAAATATATGGTGTGAGCGTACATCCGAAATATGGAGGCTGGTTTGCGTTACGAGGAGTCATAATATTCAGAAATGTGCTTCATCCAGACCTCCCCCGGAAGGACCCCCCAGATGTAGTGTCCACATCATCACTACGCAAGGAGCTCCTGGACAGGTACAACAACAACTGGCAAGACTGGTCATTCAGGGACGTCGTGCCAGTCGCTCTGAAGTATTCAGAGGAACAAAAGTTGTACTTTTTAACCCCACCTAAGGACAGGAAAGAGCTCATCATGAAAATAATTAAACAGGAGAAATTCATCTAGATCGTCACAATTGAGAGTAATTGTACTTGTGAGAATCTTTTGCACTTGAAGATAAATTGTAACCTGTAGTTTTAAAAATGAAGGCATATCATTACACGTTTTGTTTTCCAGCTCCACATTTTGTTTTCCAGCTCCACATTTTATTTTCCATCTCCACATTTTATTCAATGCATATTTCTACCGGGGTGTTTTTTTTATTATACAAGCAGCTGTTAGCAGTCATGTTGTTATAGAACTGCTGATTTATTTATTTTTTCACCTTAGTTTGTTAACAGTTTCATTATCAAAATGTTGGCCAAGTAGCTAGGGGGATCAACATTAGAAATGACATGGTTGAGGGTCCATGTTAGAATAGGTCCACAGGGCTTGTGTTGGATCGGGTGGTCAGGCTCGGTGATTTGGTTGGGGATCCATGTTAGAATAGGTCCACAGGGCTTGTGTTGGATCGGGTGGTCAGGCTCGGTGATTTGGTTGGGGATCAATGTTAGAATAGGTCCTCAGGGCTTGTGTTGGATCGGGTGGTCAGGCTCGGTGACATGGTTGGGGATCCATGTTAGAATAGGTCCACAGGGCTTGTGTTGGATCGGGTGGTCAGGCTCGGTGATTTGGTTGGGGATCCATGTTAGAATTCGGTCCCCAGGGCTTGTGTTGGATCGGGTGGTCAGGCTCGGTGACATGGTTGGGGGTCCATGTTAGAATAGGTCCACAGGGCTTGTGTTGGATCGGGTGGTCAGGCTCGGTGATTTGGTTGGGGATCCATGTTAGAATAGGTCCCCAGGTAAAATGTCGTATCGGGTGGTCAGGCTGGGTGACTTGGTCCCAAGGGATTATGTTGGAATGGAATGTTTCTGACAGCTGTGGTGAACAACAAAGCAAGTTTCAGAGCCCAACCAGTGTTAGCCATCTTGATGCTAAATAGGAACAAACCAGAAAGAATTTGCCGACTGCCGTATCAGAAGTGTAGGTTCTCCAAAAGATAATTCTTTTCCGACTCAATATCATCACCTCATAGTGTCTACTGTATGATAGATGATAATCTTCTTGGTTTCCGGTTAATGTAATAATTATGTAATCTTATATTGAATTTTGAATGTAATCCTTGTTATTGTCATTGTTATTTTTTATGCCAGCACTCCACATTGAAAATATATTTGGACATATATTTATAGCATTTACTTGATTGTTTTACACAGTATTCACAATCTGTGTGTGGTCCAGTTGTTATCTGCAGCCCAAACAAAGCTGCTGGGACTACAGAAATGGGCTCCGTCCATCATGCTTCTGGAGCATGACTGATAAGCCATTCACTATTTCTTGATGAAACTTTGTATACACATCAGTCATATGCTGAACTGGTGCCATTTGCAAATTAAGAATAAATACAAACATTATGCATTTCTAAGCAACAGGCTGGACTTGATAGGTTGAGATGATGGTAGAGTTTGTTTCTGTTGTGTTCTGAAGGTACAGTTTTATCATGTCTGTTATCTCCACAAGTTTTAGTATGAACATTTTTGGGTATAATGAAATATATGACATATGTTTTTACATGCGTAAAAAGGTCGGGGATGTTGATGACTTTGTTTCTTGTTGAATGTAAGTGAGAACAGACTCGGTTGTTTTTTTTCTGGTTCTGTATTGTTTAGAATGATGATTGGGGATTCTCTGTTTATCTTCTCTTGCCATATGAAGATCCCAAGCTCCTCACAGCGATAGCCCGTTAGCGGAGCTCTCTATACTATCGCTTCCACCGGTCAAAGCTCCTCACAGGGATAGCCTGTTAGCGGAGCTCTCTATACTATCGCTTCCACCGGTCAAAGCTCCTCACAGCGATAGCCCGTTAGCGGAGCTCTCTATACTATCGCTCCCACCGGTCAAAGCTCCTCACAGCAATAGCTCGTTAGCGGAGCTCTCTATACTAACGCTGCCACCAGTCAAAGCTCCTCACAGTGATAGACCGTTAGCGGAGCTCTCTATACTATCGCTGCCACCAGTCAAAGCTCCTCACAGGGATAGGTGGCAACAACCATGCTTGGGATATACTTGCAACCAACTGACCGCTATTATGTTTACAAACAAAAGATGACTGCCGTGTAGCCGAATACTCTTAACCCTGCTAAATTATTTTCTTTGTTTGTCAGCTTGAATTTGTGTTTCATTACAACTATCATGTATCACTATCTTGGTGCACTGCTCGTTTTGTTGACTTGTTGAGATATTTATTGCGGTTGAGTAAATAAAGACAAATGGAAAGTACTGGTAAATCTGTTCTTTATTTTTGTTAGGTTCACGCCATTATCTACTGGAACTCAAAGCATTAATGCTGAGTTGGCACAAATATCTCTTGCACATATTTGTAATATTGTTCAGATCAGGAGCTTCGGATGAAGGGAGATAACCCTGAAAATAAAATGTTTATGGCAACTCCAACAATTATGAAGAATCTGCTGTCACGGAACACTGGGAGAACAGTGTGAATATAAACACTGGTGAAACAAACATTGTTCAGATAAATTGAAAAATAAACTAGCAAGATCAGAAAGTGTATACACCGAGAGCTATGGATTGGTAAATTTGTAAATAACCAACAACCAAATATTCACAATACCATGTTTTTATTTTTCACCACCCCTTTCAAATAATAATGACAACCAAGCATGTATCAAAGAGCTTCAGCAACATATAGGAACAAACTGCCATAAGAATAAATATGTCATTCGGGATTATTCAAGAGAGATCACAAAAAGCTTTCAACATATGCTAATTTTACAGAAATATCTTCAGCACATTTTCTCCTATCCCCTCCAATGGCACATCCAACAGGAAACAATACTTTGAACAAACATAACCATGTACACACATGCAGGAAATAATACAATGTCAGAGTGAGAAAAGGATTTCTGAGAAAATAAAAATAAAAATGATTTGCTGGTCTTGAAAACATCACAGCTGGTAAGTCAAAATACAGGACAATGTTTGCAGCTAAGATCAAATATATTGTGATTATTAACGGCTTGAATTGGTTGTCAGGGTCTTGTGAAGAAGCCTGTACCAGCCGGAGGGGGTAAATTATGAGGGTGAAACGATACATTGGTGCACCGGTGCATCATGGGTTTTCTGGTGACGATACAATACACGATACATTTTTTTACGCTATTAATACAAAAAGATACACTTGCCAAAGAAATTTACTTACTACTCGTTTATTGACCCCCAGTGTGTTGAACGTTTCGAGTTCATTACTAAAAATAGTTGCTATGAACATGTGTCTAACACTAGCTGTTCCTTTTGAAGCTGCTCTGAAATATTTAGTCAAGAAGTGTCCATGTGATTTGCTGTAAATATGTATATCGAGATACAAATCACATCATGATCTATGTATCGTGATACGTATCGTATCGTGACCTATGTATCGTGATATGTATCGTGATACGTATCGTATCGTGACCTTGCTGTATCGCCTCACCCCTAGGAAACTAGTAGAATACTGTAAATCTTGAAATTATTGCGTCTCCAAAATCATACAAATGCTGACCCTAGCCAAAAAGCGACTCAAAATCAATGCGACTCCCCCCACCCCATCCCCAGTGGAATGATACATATCTTAATCCAAACAGCAAAAAGCACCACTTATTAGCACTGAGTAAAGCACTTCCGGAATAACAATAACAAACACACAGTTTATATGTTTATTCTGTTGACTGGCATTAAGGAAGTTCAAAGGCAATAAAATAATTGAACCAACAACAGTTCACTGATTGGAGTGGTCAGTGATGCCTAGTTTGACACGAGTGGGTAGAACTCTTGACCCCAGCAGTGATAACTCACCGGATACCTATTGTGTAATTCCTATTCTTTGAATGACATTGTTATACACTTGTTACAACTGCTGCTCAATAAACCGTGTTTGTGTTTATATTCAAGTTGGTATTTCCGCTATCCAAAGTGTGCAGTGAGGCCGTCTTATTGTTGATAGTCATTTGGAGACATAAATGTGACGTTTCATTAATGTGAACAAAGACCACACGCATTTTTCACATTTTATTCCCACTCATGTTAATTTCAGGATTTACAGTACTAGTACACTCATGTAGACTGGACATTTCAACAAGAGGTTAGTTTGGACCATGTCCTGCACCCCCCCCCCCCCCATGAAGTGTGACAGAGAACAATTATGTTGAAAACTGATGCAATTCTAAACTGAGATTTGAAGATTTGATTCATTCGGTCAATTTGTGCTGAATCATTTTTTAGAAGGTAATATATAAAAAACAGATGTACATTTGTTCATACACACATGAGATTATACATTTGTGTAGGTAAAGGACAACGTTTCTTGAAATGACTTTATACACATAAAACAATCATAATAAATGCCATGCAGACCTAATTAATACCAATACCAGAGATTTCCTTCTATAAAAAAAAAAATGTTCTAAAATGATTGACAACACTCCTGAAATCAGAGCCCATATACCGGTATATGGTCTCTGCTGAAATGTATATCATTTGGTGAATGGCCCTGCCTCAGGACTGGTCACACTAGATTTTATGACCACTGGCTCTTGGTTATGTGATTAGTATTAAATATTGTTAATGTCGTCAAAAAGTGTCACGCTGTTTGGCACCCTTTTTCCATGAAAGGCAATGTCTGCATCAGAGAAGAGCCCTCCTCAAGGTCATTGGTCAAGGTCGGACTGGGTTAATTTGTGGACCCACTCAAGAAACATTGAAAATATAAAAATTTAGCACACAGCAAGGGGCATAATGGCACATTTTGGTAGGAGGGGTTTCAATAAACACAAGAAACATTGCTCCTATTTGTGATAAAGAAGTTGATCATCAATAAATTTTATCCTTACTAAGACCATACTGGAAAACTATGAGATAATATTGTATCTGCTTTCCACAGAAAAAAGTCAAGCTTATGTAAATGGGTGGTCAGGCTTGCTGACTTGGTTGATGCGTGTAATTGTATCCCAGGTGCGTAGATCGATGCTCATGATGTCAATAACTGGATTGTCTGGTCAAGACTCGATTATTTACAGACCGCTATCATTTAGCTAGAATATTGCTGAGTGTGGCGTTAAACAACAAACAAACAAACAATTTTCAAAGCAATGATGATTATAAATTTCATTTCAATGCCTGTAAATGTTTTTTTAATCAAGTCAAGATAACTGCCACAAAAGTGGACACAATTTATGGATAACAACTTCTTTATTTACTGTAAAGGTGACATTTCGGTATAGATCCTTATACCATTGTCAAGCATTGTCAACATCACCTATACGGTAAAGAAAGAAGTTATCCATCAACTTCTAAGCAATGCCTATCAAACAATTTATAACTGCCACTGCCTCACTTACAAAAGTCTTCAACAACATCATCAAGATACAGTGAATGTCCTTCCAACTTGATACATCCCATATTAATGCATTGACCCCTTCCAGGAATACCTAGTCTTACCATGTTCTATGCTCTTGTGCAGGCTGACGGCAGATGTCTTTGAAAGGATTATTTCATACAGTGTAGTTGACATTTTATTCATTTGTTGGTTAGACAAAGTTAGCTAATATTTATCTTCATTCACATCATGCATGACTATATTTTTCAACTTCACTCATACAGTTTCTCGTTTGACGTAATTCATAACTGATTGACATATATGGACAGTCAGAGCGTTGGGAACTACAGGACTAGATCCATTTTAATCAATGGATGGGCATAGCCGTGCTCTGCTCTGACTCAGGGTCTAACTTCCGCTGTCGTATGATCTGGTATTGCAGGTCTCTAGTGGAGTGCCCTGCTGACTTGAAATGGTTAGTGACAGGTTTGTCACTTTGGTGGTTGATGTCGGCCATGTTTTTTAGTCGCACGTAGAAGTGACATTTTGGTTGTCCTACATATTGCTTCCCACATCTGCAGCAGTTGAGTAGATAAGGTTTCTACTCCTGCAGCTAAAATGTCTGTGGCATCTATATTAGTTTTCTGTCGTGTGGCAACTGAGAGTGTTTCCTGTCTTGAGATTCAAGCAGATTTTGCAGGCTTGTTTTTGACAGCTGTCATCCAGGTTAGTGACAGATCGGCCACTGATTTGTGGTTGGAGTGCTGGGTGATTGCTGCCTTCATGAGGATATCTCTAAGGATGCAATTTTGTTTTTGATTGACATATAACATATCAAAATACTGAATTGACAAGATATTCAGCTGCTTCTGATGCCATAGAAGTTAGTAAAGTGAACATAATACCTTATAACCGGGTGAACTCGTGTGTAGGCACTGTTTTGTGCAGTAAGCTAAAGCACACAGTGACACACACACATCATGAGGCAATGCTGTAGGGAAGACTGAGCCACCACTCTGTGTGTGTGTACATCATCTGATGATCTGCATTGTGAGACATCTCACAGTCCCACAAACATTGCTGCAAGAGAACAGGTGACAGCTCTGTATGATCATGTGACACTTGGAGCCATCAGATAGCTCCATGTCACATGGCACCTGGAGCCATCAGAAAGCTCCATGTCACATGGCATTTGGAGCCATCAGATAGCTCCATGTCACATGGAATTTGGAGCCATCAGAAAGCTCCATGTCACATGGCATTTGGAGCCATCAGATAGCTCCATGTCACATGGCATTTGGAGCCATCAGATAGCTCCATGTCACATGGAATTTGGAGCCATCAGATAGCTCCATGTCACATGGCACCTGGAGCCATCAGAAAGCTCCATGTCACATGGAATTTGGAGCCATCAGAAAGCTCCAAGTCACATGGCACCTGGAGCCATCAGAAAGCTCCATGTCACATGGCATTTGGCGCCATCAGATAGCTCCATGTCACATGGAATTTGGAGCCATCAGATAGCTCCATGTCACATGGCATTTGGAGCCATCAGACAGCTCCATGTCACATGACACTAGGAGCCAACCGATAGCTCCACATCACATCCCAATTTGAGTCGTACGACTCCATATTCACATCTGACCAAATGGAGCCATCACATTTCAACATTAACAATACAGTGGAGCCTTATAGACACGGCTCCCCATTCCCACGCAAGTCATAATGTTCCCAACAAGTATGTCTATGATCTACAAAAATAAATGATCATCCCACATAGCCCACCCTCTTAATGGCTACCTGAGGGTGATCACTGTGCAGTGTTAAAATGTGAAACAGATTGGGCAATGATTGTTCATACTATAATTTATCTGTACTTAAATTAATGCCTAGTGTAAGCTGCCATTATTTGCCCTCAGCTGGTCGGAAGCCATTAGGGTTGGTAGACTGCCATCTCCACAGATCCTCACCTGCAAAACATGACAACACACATGTAAAACATCTTACATGCAACAGTTCCTGGGTATTCCCATGCATACGGTCCTATAACCATGACGACCATCATGTATCAACAATATTACTATCATCTTACATACAACACTTCCTGGGTATTCCTGTTGGATATGGTCCAATAACCATGACAACCATCAAGTGTTAATGGTATTACTATCATCTTACATACAACACTTCCTGGCTATTCCCATGGATATGGTCCTATAACCATGACAACCATCATGTAATAACAATATTACTATCATCTTACATATGACACTTCCTTGGTATTCCCATGGGATATGGTCCTATAACCATGACAACCGTCATGTATGAACGATCTTACTATCATCTTACATACGACACTTCCTAGGTATTCCCATGGATACGGTCCTATAACCATGACAACCATCATGTATTTACAATATTACTATCATCTTACATACGACACTTCCTGGGTATTCCCATGGATACGGTCCTATAACCATGACAACCATCATGTATTAACAATATTACTATCATCTTACATACGACACTTCCAAGGTTTTCCCATGGATACGGTTCTATAACCATGACAACCATCATGTATCAACAATATTCCTATCATCTTACATATGACACTTCCTTGGTATTCCCATGGGATATGGTCCTATAACCATGACAACCATCAAATGTTAATGGTTTTACTGTTATCTTACATACAACACTTCCTGGGTATTCCCATGGGATATGGTCCTATAACCATGACAACCATTATGTGTTAACGGTATTACTATCATCTTACATACAACACTTCCTGGGAATTCCTGTTGGATATGGTTCTATAACCTTGACAACCATCAAGTGTTAATGGTTTGACTATCATCTTACATGCAACAGTTCCTGTGTATTCCCATGAGATACGGTCCTATAACCATGACGACCATCATGTATTAACAGTATAACAATCACCTTACATACATAAAATGAGGAGGAATACTTATAACTTGTGTATAACTCAAGTGTAAAGGTATGCATGAAAGTAGATATGGAACTGTGCATGTTCATCAGTTAAAGTGTTTCTTCTGAGGGATGCAAAATTTGTCTACAATAAGTAGAAATTTCAGGCGTGGTTTAAGTAATCATATTGGAATGCTGACAGACAGAAAGAGAGAGCGTATCAGGGTGGAGGGGTGGAAATGAGGTAGGTGGGAATGGAACCAGGGGAACTTTCTGACAAGATATGGCCAACCTCCATCAGAGGCCATGCCAGGAGAACTTTCTGACAAGATATGGCCAACCTCCATAGGAGGCCGTGCAAGGAGAACTTTCTGACAAGATATGGTCAAACTCCATCAGAGGCCATGCCAGGTGAACTTTCTGACAAGATATGGTCAAACTCCATCAGAGGCCATGCCAGGTGAACTTTCTGACAAGATATGGCGAACCTCCATCAGAGGCCATGCCAGGAGAACTTTCTGACAAGATATGGTCAAACTCCATCAGAGGCCATGCCAGGTGAACTTTCTGACAAGATATGGCCAATCTCCAAAGGAGGCCGTGCAAGGAGAACTTTCTGACAAGATATGGCCAACCTCCATAGGAGGCCGTGCAAGGGGATCTTTCTGACAAGATATGGCCAACCTCCATAGCAGGCCGTGCAAGAGGAACTTTCTGACAAGATATGGCCAGCCTCCATAGGAGGCCCTGCCAGGAGATCTTTCTGACAAGATATGGCCAACCTCCATAGCAGGCCGTGCAAGGGGAACTTTCTGACAAGATATGGCCAACCTCCATCAGAGGCCGTGCCAGGGGAACTTCCTGTCAAGATCTGACCAACCTCCATCAGAGGCCGTGCAAGGGGAACTTTCTGACAAGATATGGCCAACCTCCATAGCAGGCCGTGCAAGGGGAACTTTCTGACAAGATATGGCCAACGTCCATTAGAGGCCGTGCCAGGGGAACTTCCTTTCAAGATCTGACCAACATCCATTAGAGGCCGTGCCAGGGGAACTTCCTGTCAAGATCTGACCAACGTCCATCAGAGGCCGTGCAAGGGGAACTTTCTCACAAGATCTGACCAACCTCCATCACAGGCCATGCCAAGGGAACTTCCTGTCAAGATCTGACCAACCTCCATCAGAGGCCGTGCCAGGGGAACTTCCTTTCAAGATCTGACCAACGTCCATTAGAGGCCGTGCCAAGGGGAACTTCCTTTCAAGATCTGACCAACATCCATCAGAGGCCGTGCCAGGGGAACTTCCTTTCAAGATCTGACCAACATCCATTAGAGGCCGTGCCAGGGGAACTTCCTTTCAAGATCTGACCAACGTCCATCAGAGGCCGTGCCAGGGGAACTTTCTCACAAGATCTGACCAACCTCCATCAGAGGCCATGCCAAGGGAACTTCCTGTCAAGATCTGACCAACCTCCATCAGAGGCCGTGCAAGGGGAACTTCCTGTCAAGATCTGACCAACCTCCATAGGAGGCCGTGCAAGGGGAACTTTCTGACAAGATATGGCCAACGTCCATTAGAGGCCGTGCCAGGGGAACTTCCTTTCAAGATCTGACCAACATCCATTAGAGGCCGTGCCAGGGGAACTTCCTGTCAAGATCTGACCAACGTCCATTAGAGGCCGTGCCAGGGGAACTTCCTTTCAAGATCTGACCAACATCCATTAGAGGCCGTGCCAGGGGAACTTCCTTTCAAGATCTGACCAACCTCCATCAGAGGCCATGCCAAGGGAACTTCCTGTCAAGATCTGACCAACCTCCATCAGAGGCCATGCCAGGGGAACTTCCTGTCAAGATCTGACCAACCTCCATCAAAGGCCGTGCCAGGGGAACTTCCTTTCAAGATATGACCCACCTCCGTCAGAGGCCATGCCAGGAGAACTTTCTGACAAGATATGGTCAAACTCCATCAGATGCCATGCCAGGTGAACTTTCTGACAAGATATGGCCAACCTCCATCAGAGGCCATGCCAGGAGAACTTTCTGACAAGACATGGCCAACCTCCATAGCAGGCCGTGCAAGGGGAACTTTCTGACAAGATATGGCCAACCTCCATCAGAGGCCATGCCAGGAGATCTTTCTGTCAAGATCTGACCAACCTCCATCAGAGGCCGTGCCAGGGGAACTTTCTGTCAAGATCTGACCAACCTCCATCAGAGGCCATGCCAGGGGAACTTTCTGACAAGATCTGACCAACCCAGCCATCTTCACCTGAAGTGAGTGTTAGTGTTTTGTATGGACTTTCTCATGTTGTGAACAAATTTTCTGAATCAGGGACAGAGGTGAATCAGGGTAAAGTATTGAATCCGAATAATTTTAGAAAGCTGATAACCGACTGGCTCAAATCCCATGCATCCTTCACTGGCCTGTCAAAGATCTCTCAAGGTTCGCCTCAAGATCTTGATGGAAAGAGGGATGACATTTGATATTAAAGAGGGTGTAAAGGCACAAGTTTAAGTTTAAGACATCTACTTAACACAACAACAGACAAGTGAATCACTTCATAGATGCACTGAGGACTTACACATCTCATCCAGGTCTTTCTGTGCTGTCCATGACAGCTCCGTCTTGGCGAGGGTGGCATCAGCGTAACACGAGGCAATGTCTCCTAGACGGCGCTCAACTTTACTGTATGGAATCTGTAAAGCAAAGGTGAATGGTTCATCATGTTGTACAGGGGAGTCTGGTGTGTTGTACAGGGGAGTCTGGTGTGTTGTACAGGGGAGTCTGGTGTGTTGTACAGGGGGGTCTGGTGTGTTGTACAGGGGAGTCTGGTGTGTTGTACAGGGGAGTCTGGTGTGTTGTATAGGGGAGTCTGGTGTTGTGTAGGGGAGTCTGGTGTGTTGTACAGGGAAGTCTGGTGTGTTGTATAGGGGAGTCTGGTGTGTTGTACAGGGGAGTCTGGTGTGTTGTATAGGGGAGTCTGGTGTGTTGTGTAGGGGAGTCTGGTGTGTTGTACAGGGGAGTCTGGTGTGTTGTACAGGGGAGTCTGGTGTGTTGTATAGGGGAGTCTGGTGTGTTGTACAGGGAAGTCTGGTGTGTTGTACAGGGGAGTCTGGTGTGATGTACAGGGGAGTCTGGTGTGTTGTATAGGGGAGTCTTGTGTGTTGTATAGGGGAGTCTGGTGTGTTGTACAGGGGAGTCTGGTGTGTTGTACAGGGGAGTCTGGTGTGTTGTATAGGGGAGTCTGGTGTGTTGTATAGGGGAGCTTAGTGTCTTGTATACATGAGTATAATGTAAAGGTGAATGGTTCATCAAGATTCTTAGTGCATGGAAGCCTGCTACGTTGTACAGGGGAGTCTGGTGTGTTGTACAGGGGAGTCTGGTGTGTTGTATAGGGGAGTCTGGTGTGTTGTATAGGGGAGCTTAGTGTCTTGTATACATGAGTATAATGTATAGCATATGGGTCCAATGTATTGTATAGAAGAGTCTTGTGTATTGTATCGGTGACTCTGGTGTGTTGTATGGGGGAGTCTAGTGTATTGTATAGAAGAGTCTAGTGTATTGTATGGGAGTCTAGTGTATTGCATTGGAGTCTAGTGTGTTGTATGGGGGAGTCTAGTGTATTGTATGGGAGTCTGGTGTGTTGTTTGGGGGGAGTCTAGTGTATTGTATGGGAGTCTAGTGTATTGTATGGGAGTCTGGTGTGTTGTATGGGGGAGTCTAGTGTATTGTATGGGAGTCTAGTGTGTTGTATGGGGGGAGTCTAGTGTATTGTATGGGAGTCTGGTGTGTTGTATGGGGGAGTCTAGTGTATTGTATGGGAGTCTAGTGTGTTGTATGGGGGAGTCTAGTGTATTGCATGGGAGTCTAGTGTGTTGTATGGGGGAGTCAAGTGTATTGTATAGAAGAGTCTAGTGTATTGTATGGGAGTCTAGTATATTGCATGGGAGTCTAGTGTGTTGTATGGGGGAGTCTAGTGTATTGAATACCCACCGTCTTTCCTGATGCCTTCTCAAATGCCTTGACCATATCCAGCACGGAGTAGCCATGTCCAGTGCCCAGGTTGTAGGTCTTCAATGGAAGAGAAAGAGAGGTCATTAACAGAAACCTTGGTTGTGAGACACAGCTGTATCAGTACCACAGAATACTGGGGTAGGCATCCACTACATCCTCCCAGATGTCACTGACCAAATACAGTAAACAAATATAACCGATATAACAAACTTATTTTTAAGTCCCGGCCATTTGATACAGCTTTTTTTAAAAGGGGGGGTGCACAATTAAGATCTATTTATTGTCTTTGGTCGTAATTTATACAGAAATAAAGATTTTTTTCGAAATAAAAAGGGGGGATGCGCACCCCCACACCCCCCCTCTGTATCCGCCCATGTGCTGTTTATATGCTTATATCAAACTACGGTTATTACGAACTAAAATGAGTGGTCCCTTTGAGTTTGTTATAAACTTAGTCTACTGTACTTATATAAAAAATACCCCAGTTACTACAGAGACGAGTGAGTGAGTATGGTTTAATGCCGCTTTTAGCATTACTCCAGCAATATCTCGGCAGGGGACACCAGAAATGGGGCTTCACCCATTGTGCCGATATGGGGAATCGAACCTGGGTCTTCGGTGTGAAGAGCAAACGCTTTAACCACTATGCTACCCGACCGCCCCCATATGGAGGATGAGGAAGCTCTTTGAACCCACATTGTCGCATAGCAGCCTTTGCATGTCGAGAGGTGTAAGAAGAGGCATTGTCATGAAATAGTAGAACTCCAGCAGTCAGCATTCCTCACCGCTTTTCTTTGATAGAATCTCTCAGGCAATGACGCAAAAAGCTTCAAAGACCAGGAAATCTCTGTCTTAATGACACAATAACTGAGGACATGTTGTGTGGCTTGTGTAGGGAGAAATCCCCCTCCACACAACTCCTATTCAGGGCTGACATGAAGACGGTGACATTCCAGCTATGATTCTGACTCACCTTGTTCCCACAGCTCTCTTCGACCTTCTTAATGGCTGCCACATGACCTTGTGCAAGGTCAACCACATGAATATAATCACGAACACCTAGAACCGACAACAATGTGTAACACATCTGACAGACTGGATCCTGGTGTGGTCAGGGGAGACTATCTAGAACCTGTACTAACAGCATTGTGGGTCAGAGTAACAAATTACTTTTCAAATTTATTTCACAGTTAAATCTAAAAAATAAATTGGGTATACATTGATTTTGTTGTGCTTATTTTGTACCATTTCTTTGATTTATGAAACTACAGAAAAATTATGAAATGCTGTTTTCCTCTCTCCATCCTGGCACAAGGACAGTCTATATGGGGGAGCACAAGGAGTGAGTTGGCGAAAGCACTGTAGCAATGTCCCATACTTCAGTGTTGTAACAACACTTTGCAAGTGTGTAGGCGACAAAAATGTGAATGAAGTCCTGAGAAGAGTAATATATTGAAAACTATCTTTACCACATTGAATTAACCATTAAAAAATTATACAGAAGTATGTTTTGCGAAGTAATTAACAACTATGTTAAAATACATTTGATGCTTCATTTTATGGTCAAGGGGAGATAATCCACACAAATTACACTAAAAAAGCACAACTTCTAAAAACTATACAATCTACAACTAATAAATTGAAGCTATGAAAATATTTTCATGCTGCAACTTGCAAGAAGAGTACAGATGATAAGACGACCCTGATACCGGCAGACCTCACAGTTCACTGACCTGTCCCATCCGGGGTGTCGTAGTCGCTGCCGTACACCTTCAGTTCCGATCTGCGCCCCACGGCCACCTGGGCTATGAAGGGCATCAGGTTGTTGGGTGGGCCCTGGGGGTCCTCGCCAATCTTCCCCGACTTGTGGGCACCGACCGGGTTGAAGTATCTCAGGATCACAATGTTCCACTGCTGCACACACAACCAGCACATAATATGATCAGAACTGACCATTGAATATTTTTGTGTAATTATAGAGGTAGTTACTAGGGATTGGTATTGGACGTTTAAAATGTATCACAATATTTTATAATGCATTGGGCCGTTTTGCGATATGTATCACAATATATTGTGTAATTCTAAATTTTGAATTCAGAAGCAATCTGATACTTTAATTGAAGTTCATAAATGGAATAAAACAACATACTCGTACAACATAATATTTACTCATTCACACTCTGGGACAGTGATGACTTGGTGTCACCAGTGCGAACTCCAAATTGCGAATTTGTATTTTGGGATAACGGAAACATTTCGAAGGTACATGTATTTGGCAAGTATTACAGTGTATAATATTAAACGTGATTAAAATCATTATTTGAAATTGCCTAAAATCACCGGATATACCGAGCATTAAAAAATGATATTGTGATACTTATCATGGAAAGAATGAACCTCAATTTACCAATATACCAGTAATACCGCCCATCTTTAGTAGTTTTGTAAAAAACGGTGTGGATACTATAAAAACATGAGTTGGGTATTAACAGAAAGTGTGTCCACCATTTTAATGTTCATAAATCTATTGAAGTCAATATTTACAAATCCAAACGTCAACAATAATAACTTCACAGAATGCTAATTTAATAAGTAACACAAAATTTAAACAACAATACAAAATCAATACATCATTCAGCGCAAGCCCCACCCATTCTTGTATCAGCAAATTAGGACAAAAAAGTCTGCTAGTGGGCGGGTCCAATTGTTTTTCAGTTGATGGAAACATTGCTAGGCTAGCCAATCATGTGCGATGGAATCACTTGCAACTTATTCATTATCTGTTGCAGGTCGGAGAAGGCAGCAACCTGACATAGTTCTATTTCTGTTCCAGAGACATCATCGTAGGTGACACCAGTTTTGGAGTCAAACCCAGGCTGCTGCAACAAGTGCTTTACCACTGGACCATTTCGCCTTCCCTTACCACCAAGTTCTGTCACATGAACTCAACTCGGATCTCCCCATGAAGGAACCTACAGGTATCTCCACGAACACTGGCATACAGAGAAATGGGTAAAGGCTGATATTTGTCTTTCAGACACAACAGATTCTGTATCACCAACCAGAAAATAGCATAAAATTCCAGAAATTGTTTTGTCTTGATTATGTTTAATATGCAAATAGCATATATTTGCCACACAACAGATTCTGTATTACCAAACAGAAAATAGTATAAAATTCCTGTTATTGGTTTGTTTTGATTATGGATTAAACATTTGGGATAATCAGTGAGTGAGTATGGTTTTACGCCGCTTTTAGCAATATTCCAGTAGAGGGACACCAGAAATTGGCTTCACACATTGTACCTATGTGGGGAATCGAACCCGGGTCTTTGGCATGACGAGTGAATACTTTAACCACTATACTACCCCACCACCTCTTTGATTATTTTTAAAATGCAAATCGATTATATTTGTGTATACAATACATAAACAATCATTGGTTTACATACCATGAGTATAGTGTTGGAAGTAATTTACTGAAACCAAGCTCTAATTTCATCCTGTAATCGATTCATAAATACAAGAAATCTACTGCAAAATGTCAGAGAACACTTTGAAATGTATATAATTTTCACCAACCTTTTCTGCATTTGAGAGATCTCTTAGAATTTCTTCGATGAAATACTTTGTTTTGCCATAAGGATTTGTACATCCCCCGATTGGGTGTTTCTCGTCCAGAGGAAGATACTGTGGCGTGCCATACACTGTTGCGGAGCTTGAGAACACCAAGTTGTTGACCCCCTTCTCCTTCATCACCTATCAGGAAGATCAACATGGCCGTCACTTCACGTCTGCTCAACAATACCTCACCACAAAATCTTCTTGGGAAGGGGATTTCCCTTTCAATCAAGCATGACAATTCAATGTAATATGTATGCTCGACAATTGTGAAAACAAACAATGATGCAGATCTAACTTGGGTGAAACCTATAAGCATGTATATTGCGCTGACAAAACCTATCATGGTCACAGGATTCTGTCTCACAGTCCCTGAACCATATTATTTCCCTTCCGCCCAGCCCTTTCCGTAATGCAAAAGCCCTAAATGAAGCAAGTCTAGATTTCCCTCTAGGTTCCTTTGGGGATCCTAAAACGTCAGGCACCAGTGAAGTAGTGAGTGAGAATTGTTTTACGCCCCCTTTAGCAATATTCCAGCAAAATATCACGGCAGGGGATACCAGAAATGAGCTTCACACATTGTACCCATGTGGGGAATCGAACCCAGATTTTCAGCGTGATGAGCTAGCACTTTAACCATTAGGCTAACACAGAAATAAAACACTTTGTGGGACTCCTGAATACAATGATGGTAGAAGGCATGCATTTTTTCACAGTAAACATCAAACAAGCCAGTTGGCTTGGATGTTGGTTTTGAATTTCAAAGACAGGACAAAATATGTTTACTCATTAAATGCGTTGTTTTGTTTTGTTCTGTTTTGTAAGATATGTTTAATCAACATATATACTTGTATTCAAGTTATATCACCGCATGTCAGATTGATGTTGGAGGATAGTCTCAAGTGATGCCAGTCTTATAAATACCACTTCAGTGAAACCCACAACACGGGTATGGTGCTGACAAACCTAGAAACATAATGAGAGCGAACTGAGATTGGAAACCCACAATCATAGGTTTCTGCCTGACGGATTCCGTAAAACAGGCTGATAAGCGAGTGCGTAAAATAAATGTCTGACCTCTAAAAGGTTGACTGTGCCGCCAACGTTTGTCCTGTAGTACAACAGCGGGAGGTTACATGACTCCCCAACGGCCTTGAGACCTGCGAAGTGGATCACTGCACTGAACTTGTGCTGCAAACAAATATATGCACATTAGCTGTTAAAACATGAAACCACAAAGAAACCTGGTCATTGAATATAGAAAATAATGAGACTAAGAAGACTAAAAGACTAAAAGAATGGGCACCAATCGTCTTCTCTTGGTAGTTTATTTACTAGGTGTTGTAGGTTTTTTTATAGATAAAATCTGCCATTCTATATTATGCATGGCATTAGAATGACATACCACCAGTGCTGGCGACAACAAAACCCTATCTCGTGGGAAGATAGAATTGGTAAAGTTACAACATAAAACAATGATAAATCAGGTGTGTTGACTTTGTTGGATGGAAAACTTGCAGGGCGATAAACTCCCTCACCACGAAACTTATGGAATCAAGATTTTTATCCCACATCAAACTTTTGAAATGGTCCCTAAACTTATTGATAACTGAACATTAATAATAACACTGTATATATGGTTTTACACATTAAATAATTGCAGAAACAAATTCTAAAATGGGAATAAATGAAGGTCAAAGGTCGCAGGAGGATAAAAAAGTGAAATATGCCAAAAGACGAACATTTCATATTGTATTCCGCTTACCAAATATTCACTGAATACTAAATATTTACTGCATACCACACATTTACTGCATACCAAATATTTACTGCATACCACATATTCACTATCTTCCAAATATTTACTGCATACCACATATTTACAGCGTACCAAATATTTACTGCATACCACATACTTACTGCATACCAAATATTTACTGCATACCACATATTTACTGAATACCACATACCACATATTTACTGCATACCAAATAGTTACTGCATACCACATATTTACTGAATACCACATATTTACTGCATACTACATATATACTGCATACCACATATTTACTGCATACCAAATATCTACTGCATACCAAATATTTACTGCATACCAAATATTTACTGCATACCAAATATTTACTGCATACAACATATTTACTGCATACCAAATATTTACTGTATACCACATATTTACCGTGAACCAAATATTTACAGCATACCAAACTTCATTATCATGACAATGATGCATGCAGCTAAGGCTGTGCAATGGGCAAAGAAGACTATGGTTGCTGTGACTTTCATGTTCAAATTCTGATCTGAATTCTTGGATAAAGTTTCAGAAGCACCCTAGCTGAGATCTTACATCCACATTTCCAGCTTCAGCCTCACGTTTTATAGTGGAGATGTCGAAAACCTAAAAACTAATGACAGACAGACAACTGGACGGATGTCAGACAATGCTCCACGGCTGTCAGTCACGTAAACCACAAATTACTGGGCAGGATTTTATTTGGAAATTTGTTTAATTTCATTCCAATTAAACAGCAAGAGACTTTTTTCAAAAGAAAGTGGAGTCTTCAGGGATCATTGTGGTCAAACTATAAACAGTGACACTTCGAACATAATCCTTACTTTAGTGCAAGAGTATAGAATGACAAGCAAACTCTTTATCATCAACTAAACGTGTTTGTTGTTAGCTCAGAAAGTTGATACTGAAGCAAACAATGGTTGCTTATTACAACCACTCAACTTCTGCTGACTGTGACTGCACACTTCTGCCTCTCCTACATTGCAGGTGGCCATGTTTCGCTCAAACGAACATGTAACTTCCAGCTTTTAGCAACAACATGAACGTGATCAGAGGTTTCCCATTTTCCAGTTTGAACAGTAAAGAATGTGTGACCAGAATATTCAATTATCCGTTTACATATATGTCTTATCAAATCCTTGACAACAGTAAGGTAAAAAATACCTAGTTCAAATTACAATGGAATTAGTATACATCTGCAATTGTTGTTTCTTGTTTCACATGACATTGTGTTGGTCAGTTGGTTCAGTAGGCAAAATAAACGATATTTATTTAATCAGAGACGAAAGTGTGTTCTCGTTGTTATTGTCATTGTCACAGTTTGATCAGGTACATTTCTAAAACAGTTACAGTTTTAGGGGTTTATGCGACGCACAAATATGCATCAAGTACGCACAAATGTAGAGTTTTGCTTGTTTGTTTGTTGTTGTTTAACGCCGCACTCGGCAATATTCCAGCTATATGACGGCGGTCTGTAAAATAAATGAGTCCGGACCACACAATCCAGTGATTGACATCTTGAGCATCGATCTATGCAATTGGGATCGATGACATTTATCAACCAAGTCAGCGAGCCTGACCACCCGATCCCGTTAGTCGCCTTTTACGACAAGCATAGTCGCCTTTTTCGGCAAGTATGGGTTGCTTAAGACCTATTCTACCCCGGAATCTTCACGGGTCGCACAAATGTAGAGAATGGATGCAGAAAAAATGTACTGGGTCCTAAAGAATAATACACATTAATTGCACCAGCAGTACATCAAGAGCAGTTATAGGTGTGGGGTATTTCATCAGTCATGACCACTGTCCACTTGACCATTGATTCATTCCAGGCTCTGAAGTAATCATCAAAATATACAGTACACCAAGTAATTACTTGGCGAGACTCTCATATTGCCTGCAAGGACCGTTAAAATTAATTATTGGGGGGCCACCGGACCCCCGCTATTGTAAGTCAAGGTCAAACCCTATTCATTTTTCTTATCTTTCGCAAATAAAGAACACTGGCATATACAAAAGAACAGTTATCTATTTGATTGGTGGCTTTCTGTTCCAGACAGTCAAATCGACCCCTAAACCCCCAATTAAAGTGCTACCTTATCCGGACATTAAATTGCTTCACAACACAGGAACAGTTGCTCCGTGAGAGTCTTGGAAGATAGGTTAACTGTATCTGATCTGTTACTGGAATCTATAGAACGAACATGGTGTCTCCGATATCCAGAAAATCAGTGGAAGATTGATTGTGAACTCCTGTCTCGGTGGATGTCGCCTAAATGACCTCTGCACCCTGACCTACACTGACCTTGTCGAACACCTCTTCCACTGCCTTCCTGTCCAGCAGGGTGACATTGTATGTCTGGATCTTCTTCCCCACGATCTCTTCCACACGACGGATACTCTCTGTAACATTGTAACACCAGCAAATATACTCTCTGTAACATCAGCTTATATACTCTCTGTAACATTGTAACACCAGCTTATATACTCTGTAACATTTAAACACCAGCTTATATACTCTCTGTAACATTGTAACGCCAGCTTATACTCTGTAACATTGTAACACCAGCTTATATTAATATACTCTGTAACATTGTAACACCAGCTTATATATAGTCTGTAACATTGTAACACCAGCTTATATACTCTGTAACATTGTAACACCAGCTTATATTAATATACTCTGTAACATTGTAACACAAGCGTATATACTCTGTAACATTGTAACACCAGCTTATATACCCTCTGTAACATTGTAACACCAGCTTATATACTCTGTAACATTGTAACACCAGCTTATATACTCTGTAACATTGTAACACCAGCTTATATACCCTCTGTAACATTGTAACGCCAGCTTATATACTCTCTCTCTGTGACATTGTAACACCAGCTTATATACTCTGTAACATTGTAACACCAGCTTATATATAGTCTTTAACATTGTAACACCAGCTTATATACTCTGTAACATTGTAACACCAGCTTATATACTCTCTGTAATGGTGTAACACCAGCTTATATACTCTCTGTAATGGTGTAACACCAGCTTATATACCCTCTGTAACGCCAGCTAACATTCATATACTCTCTGTAACATTGTAACATCAGATTACATTAATATACTCTCTGTAACATTGTAACACCAGCTTATATACTCTCTGTAATGGTGTTACACCAGCTTATATACCCTCTGTAACACCAGCTAACATTGATATACTCTCTGTAACATTGTAACATCAGATTACATTAATATACTCTCTGTCACATAACATCAGCTCCAATAGTCTCTGTAACATTGTAACGCCAGCTTATATACTCCCTGTAACACTGTAGCACCAGCTTACATTAATGTACTCTTTTTAACATTGTAACACCAGTTTATATACTCTCTGTAAAACTGTAAAACCAGATTATATTAATATATTCCCTGTAACAATGTAACACCAGTTAAAATACTCTCTGTAACATTGTAACACCAGCTTTATACACTCTCTTTGTAACATCAGCTAATATACTCTGTAACATTACATCAGCTTCTATATTTTCTGTAACATTGTGACAACAACTAATGTAATCCTTGTTTGTGTTTGTAACATGAAGAATACCACTGTTTATGTTTGTTACAGCTGACTCGATGTTAAACATGTTAAATGTGATGTGAAATCGTAACCATTGAACATACTGCACATTTGACACATCTGATGAAAGATGAGTATTTTGGCCCTCAGCAAATGTTGAGAAATATATGTGAAAGTCCTCAATCATAATTTTGTGTTTTAAAATTGAACATGAAGATTTTTTATGCCCTAGTTGGGGACACAAACTCTAAACGCCTATAGAATTATACCAGCTCTTTCACCTAAGCATGAATTGACATGAATGATAATCTATCCTGGGAGCATGTTAAAGATTATAAGAATAGCCAAAATTAGATTTAACATGATAAATTTGTTGATGAAAATAATTTGAACATGTGTGTATTGATTAATGCATATTAATCTTCTCAACAGTTCAGATAAATGTGTGACAGACTTTGGCCTGTCATGTCAGCCTGTCATGCACCAGGTGGCATCAGCTGTCAAGTATGAAGCATCAGAACTACTGGTACACAGAAGGGAGAACATTTAATACATCCTCTTCTCTTTTGATGACAAGTTGTTCAAAGGTTACAAAGAAAAGAGTTAGGCTGTATTTCAAACCAAAAATTACCATCTTGAATTTCCTTATTGCTTCAGAACTCCAGATAACTTTTTGAGCAATTGGGTTTTTACTCAAAGGTTTCTATTTTAATTGGGTTATTACATTTTTAATTGGGAAACCAATATTTTTTCACTCATCTATTCATCACTCTATTGGGATTTTCCCAAACTAAGTATACATTTTGAAAAATAAGAATAATGTTTTAGATGTAGATAACGGTTCTAACTATAGGCTTGACTCAGAAAATAAATTAGCTTGTAATTGTGTTTCAGAAATTAGCTCCATCGTACGCATGCTGAAAAAGCTTCATTGGGTGTTTATTTATGTGTGCTGTTTTTAGACAAATTACGTTTCTGTACGGAAGTTCATTGAAAGTAATTTGGTTTTGAACATTTTTAGGGGGTTTTCTTACGTAAATACACTGCTTATATGTAGCTCTGGTGCTTGTTGCAACCAAGGACGAATTCAACATGGATGAAAATTATGTTAAGAAGAGGGTAAGTGAATTGCTAATGGATGGATGGATGGATGGATGGATGGATGGATGGATGGATGGATGGACAGAGGGATAATGAATCCATGACACAAGTTCAATTTTAGGCAGTCACTGACAACAAGGTTATCAAGTAATCCGGTACTGACCCATGCTGGCATTGACCAGGTTGTCAAGGACAACGACGGAGTAGCCTGCCGCAATAAGCTCTATGACAGAATGGCTCCCCACGTAGCCTGCACCACCAGTCACTAGGATACACTTCTCAGGCATCTTCGACTTCTGAAATAAAAAAACATAGTTCTTTGTATCAAATCAGAGAAAGATTTCTGCCAATATTTCAAAATACTTTAGACCCCTTCCATGGTCTGGTGGATAGAGCACCTGTCTAGGAAGCGGATTAACGGTGGTTTGATTACCGCCTGTGTCATGCTAATACCGTTTCAAGATGGTACTTGTTGTTACCCTGCCTGGTGCTTGGCACTAAGGGGATACAACAAGGATCGGTCGGCTCAAGACAGTATACACTATAAAGTGTCTGAGTGGAGAATCCATGACAAACTGTGGCAACGTATGTATGGATAGACTATTACAAGCAGTGACGTATGCATGTGCTCACAGATACAAACGTCGCTATTAGTGCAATAAGAACATGGTTTTAAGCACTGAACCAAAATAAAATATTTGCTGTCTACTAGTACACATTAAACAGGTTTAACACATATGATCCTCTTAAAGATTCCTATTGCATCAATCATGATCAATTTCTATGCATAACTATCTCACATGTATGAAAGTGTAAAATGGATGGCAATGATGGGACACACCATGACTGGTCTGTGGTACTTCTGTGAAGATACGCCTGCGATGCCAAAGACCAAATTGAAATATATTTGCTCCAGAACGCACATCAAAATACACTTTAGTCAGTTTGCAAAATAATTTCATTGTGGTCTCTGGCAAGTTCGCTCACTGCATAGCAGTAACCTTGATTCAATAGTTACCTAATTATCATACCTCAAATCACAAGCAATGGAGGAACAATAAAATCTTGTAGAAATAACTGTAGTCAAGCAAGTCATAATCCCTTGTCTACAACGAGCAGCTTATCAAATATATAGAAACCTACTGATCCACTCTTGCCCATGATGTCACACAGAGCCAGCTGACAGCGAGTTAACCTCTCCTTGCACTACAAACACCCCAGACCACAGCGGGACACCCTTGTGTACAACATTGCAGATTCTTGCTTGTTTGTTAAACAACAACAGCGTGCAAGTCCTCGCACCGGGTCAACATTTCCCTTGCAAGTCAGCAACTAACATACCCTTTTGACGACACCGAGATATTTAAGCCATTTCCTTTTATTCATTTTTAACTATCAACTATCAATAGAAACTTTACAACATAAGTGTATTTTGGAATGAATTTCATGATTGATATATCCCCAACTAAGGGCTGGTTATAAAAAATTAGACATATTTCACTGTTGTCTTATTTACTATGTTTACTCCATCTGTAATTTACAATTTGAGAAGGTCTGGGGTGGAATAGGTCTTCAGCAACCCGTGCTTGCCATAAAAGGTGACTATGCTTGTCGTAAGAGGCGACTAACGGTATCCGGTGGTCACGCTCGCGGACTTGGTTGAAGCGTGTCATCGTATCCCAATTGCTTGGATTGGATTACGTGGATGACTGGATTGTCTGGTACAGACTTGATTATTTACAGACCGCCGTCATATAGCTGGAATATTGCTAAGTGTGGCGTAAAACAACAAACCAACAAGCCAACTACAATTTGAGACTTAAGGTACCTTCAACTGTCAATCAAAACATAAGTTTTCAAATAAAAAAAATAAAAATATTATGCACAAATTTTGATATTTTCAAAATCAATACTTTTCCTGAACAAACACACCAAAATACATCCAGGGCAACTCCCAACATGTTTGCTGAGGAAAACTGTTTTTCTTTAACTTAAAAAACATCTTCCTATTGAACAGCATGACAAGAAATGCTGAATGCCAAATTTGGACATGGCGCTATTAAATGGGGTATTAGTCTTGTTAAAGTCCTGTTACATGTAGGGAAAGTGTACTTAGGGATTGACACACAGCAGCAAGTCTGCAGGGGCCATCTGGCATCGATCTGTGTGAAGTTGTGAGACGGAGTGACCCAGAAAGACAAACACAAGCCAGGTAACGGATCATTGTATCGACAGACAGCACTGCCACACCTGTCCTACATCTTCGTCTTCAGCAACATCTTCTCTGATTACAACTGCATCAACATGGCACCCATAGAGTTCATTGTGATTTTATTACAAACAGATCTTGTGGCACAGATGTTTTTGGATGAACGAAAGCCGATAGGTAGCAAACAATCCCATAAATATCCTTATGAGTTTGTAACTTTGTATAATATATGAAACGAGTGATTAGTTCTGAACTATTTACTTGTTTCATAAAATTAGTATAACACGGGAACGAGTTTAGTACTTTATTTACTACTTGTCGTTTATAAAAATAATAATTCACTGTCATGTGTGAAAAGGCAGACATCTACGCAATCCACAGCTTACTCCAATTGAGTTTAACAGAATAATACTTCAAACACGTCAAAAGTTAATATTTATTCATTTAAAACCATACAACGGCCCACCTTTAGATTGGTTGGTTGGTTTGTTTGTTATTTAACGCCGCACTCAACAATATTCCAGCTATATGACGGGGGTCTGTAAATAATCGAGTCTGGACCAGACAATCCAGTGATTAATATCATGAGCATCGATCCATGCAATCCACCGCTTTTCTTTGATAGAATCTCTCAGGCAATGAAGCAAAAATCATAGTCAGCACCAGTAATTGCCTTTCTAAGTAATCAACAAGGACCACACCCTTTGCATCCCAGAATACAGAGGCCATAACTTTCTTCACTCATCTTTAAGACTTGAATTTCTTTGGTGCCAGAGAAGTGGAATGGTGCTATAGTGGTAGGCACATTGTCATAGTTGTAGACACAATTTCATCATCCCTACTAATCTCTACTTTAATTTGACGAAATCTTCCTCAATTAGCTCTAAATTTTCTCTGGCAAATAATTATTTCTATACATACATAATAATTTTCAAAAGGCATTTCACTTTTTATTTGTTTGTTTACAAAAACTTTAGTATAAAATACAATGTTGGTGGTCGAAAAATCTTTAACAAAAATCAACTTCCAGATTAGTACTGCTTCTAATAAATGAAAAACAAATTCATGGTCACACCATAACGGAAATTCAATTGCGGATGATACCAAAGGACATCTGGCTTGTTTTTTGTTTGTTTTTTATTTCCCAAGCTGTTTATATTAATGGACAAGGTCATACAGATCATATACATCATCCTCTCAAATAAACCACAGCCCACACAGTATGCATATAAACAATGGTCTATTTGCAGTCATTGTAACAAAATCCAGGCATCTGTGTCATGAATATCCAACAGTGCATCCTCCTATGATACGGACTATAGCCAGACTGCTGCGTGGATACAAGAAAAAGAACTTGCATTCATATCAGTCACATCTAGGGCTTCAACGAGCTGGGTCGGTTTGACTGGGACTCGAGTCCGTTATCAAGGACAGTAGTAGGACAATACACTGTTGCATCGGTGGGCCTTGATACAAGTATCTATCAAAAATCGCACACTAAGTAAAAAGTTGATTCTTACTTTAAATGTATTCTTTAAAATGTATAAATATTACAGTGAGTGAGTGAGTTGGGATTAACGCCGCTTTTAACAGTATTCCAATTATATCACGGCGTGTCAGCTTAATGTGGGAGGAAAGCCCGAAGTGATGCAGGTCTCAGACGTTATGGTACATACGTTACGGGTATGATGCTGACAAACCTGGAAACATAATTGGGGTGAACCGGGATTCTAACCCACAATCATAGGTTTCTGGCGTGCCCAAGGGACGCAATTCTGCAGTGAATCGCGGCACCTTGGACAACTGGGCCACCCGTTCCCCAATAAATATTACACCAAACACTAATTACTGTAATTCTGCTTTAAACTCTGTTTCAGGCGACACCCATGTGTGTCACATACTGTATTCGACATAATAAGCGGCCAGGGCGTTCTCAAAATTAGAAATAGGGTCTCTTATTAGAATATTATTTTGGTGGAAAAAACAAAGTTGAAAGATAAATTTCATGGTTTATGCTGACAGCCTGAAATGTTTATATACGACAGATATATTTTTCCAGAATCTAATTGCCCATAATTAAGGGTGCATATAACACACAAGTGCGTATTATACGCGAATAAATAAGTCTTGTGTACATTGATATGTCGGAAGGGGTGCTAATTGGGATTGTTCACTTGCCAATAAATGAGAAATTATCGCCGTGGGCGCTTATTAGAGAGGAGCGCTTATTATGTCGAATACGGCATGTCAAATACGGTATCACAACAATGACACACGTGCAAGTTACTAGGGGTGTAATAAATACCAATGAGGCGATTACGATTCGTATCATGAATTTAGGTTAACAAATACGAATATTAATTCACGAATACAATAACAAGTCAGCATTTGATGTCTAATTGTCATATTCAGTGAAACAATAATGCTATAAATTGTTTGACATATTTTTTAAATTATTAATATATTATACATTTATATAAGGCACTTGTCCAGGTACTAGTATCTGCTCAAATGTGACAATGACCAGTGACCACAATACTGTCAAATTAAATGTTTTAAGAGTGTTGTCTTTGAAGAAATTTATGCATATAATATGTTCTTTTGAATATTTTTAGGTACAGGGTATGTAATACACATCATTGCATTTTCATAAATATTTGATTCTAGTGTCCACGAATAACGAATTCAATTCATGGATGGATCCGGTTCGATTCACCGAATACACGAGTGAAACATAACAGCCGTACAAGTTACATGAAGCAGAGACCATATACCGATATCGCTATATGGTCTCTGCATGAAGCGAAAGGTAGCACTTTACACATTGTCCACTGCTTGTATATTTGATGTCTGCATTCAATCAGCAAATAAACTTCTGTACAGACATACACAGGCACAAAGGTAAAAAGCTACACTGGGTAATTATACATTGTTTACTATTGGGCTACTTTTCATGCATATTTGTATGCAAGCAACTCTAAATAAATTGGGTCATGGTTATTTATTCTGCATATCTTACTCAAATACGCAGCTCATCTGGAGTTCTGTATCAGGCTAATGTAATAATAATGTGATTCCAATTATTAGAAACCCACAACTAATTTGGAGAACTACTGTCAAATTATGCTTACATTTTTATGTGCTCATTAGTTTTGACCCAAACAGTGAGTACCACTGAAAACTAGAAAGTCAGAACACACAATGCCATTTAGAAAGTGTTTTTAAATGTAACAAATGTTACATTTGGGACAACACTTTCTCAGGTAAAGCACAAATTCTAGTATCTTTTGGGGTTGAGTTCAATCTGGGATTCAAACCCACACTGCCAGAGTGAGGCCCCCAAATGCCAGCACAAAAAGCCAGCGATCTGACCCACTCAGCCACCGAGGCTTCCACAAAATGAAAGTCCGACAACTGGTAGTGGTAGTCTAGATCACATACTCTGTGTACCACCTTGACAGTGTAAATTGGCATGGCTCCCATGGCCAAAAGCTGTGAACACACAATGCCATTTGGAAAGTGGTCAAATGTAACAAATGTTATGTTTAGAAAGTTAGACAAAGGTCATCTGGATATATTGTACATCAGAACAATGATCACTTGAGGCCTCACATAGTTACATGGCCATCATGGAGGCAAAGCAACCAGCTGGTACAATACCTCGACCTAAACTGCAGCTAAGCCTAACTTTTCTGTGGTGTATTTTATTAAAACAAACTTATAAAAAACCCATATAACTAAGCATTACTTAAAAAAGTGCATAGGCTGAGAAAACTTGACCAAGGTTAAAATATGAAATAAATTGCAGTAAAACACTAGAGCACTGAATCAGTTGTCTCCAGTTACTATTAGTAAAATCAAATTGACTTCTAAGTGCCACTTACAAAAATCAAATAATCATAATTGTACATGCACAGCAAACAGATGACAAAATGTGAATAAAATATATACCAATATATTTTTTTGGTATTTTATCACTTGTTTCTCCTATTTCATTAACACAAAATCACAAGATATGGGATTTATAAGAGAGCTTTTTTACCCTCCACTGTGTCTTGGGATTTACAATGAAAAATCTGTAATATAATTAATAAAATATAATCTAAGGTTGATCACTGCATGTTGATAGATACATTTGTAAGCTAATCAATCTGTGTAAAATAGACAGTACTTTAAACGATATGGGGGCAAAATCTATCAGGCGGAATAATGATAATTATACCATCTCTTCTGTAGGGATCCCTTGGGTTGTTAGATCCCAGTACCCAAAGAGCTCACTAAAATTGAAATTTGTATTTAACAGTTTGTGACTGGCTTACTCTGTGTCATTGTAACCCATCAGAATCTACCATGAATGTACAAACTTTGCAATTAAGTTAATCGTGAGTTAGGCCTACTGTTGGAGTTGATCATTGTACACACATTTGAAAACCATAGCAGTAATATACTATAATATGGTCTATATTAATTAATCAATTACATCAAAGATATTATGAAATTTTCTTCAAGACACTTGCTGTCAAATGAAAAATTATGGACGTAAGTGGAAAACGATCGAGCACAATCACAGATAGGGCCTATGTGATTGTAAACACAGTCACTGTTGCTTGCTTGAATCGACACTACATTTTATTTCCTGTCATCATTTGATCCAAGATAGGACATGTTTCATGACAAAAGAAATCAAGATATAAAATTTTATCATACCTGTTTCTGAAGCTGTCGAACAATGAAGTTTGTGATCTAAATACGAGAACCTGTCAACGTGTACCCGGCGTGGTCTCAGTTGACCTGGGGTTCAAGGTCACTTGCATCGGTCGCAGAAACTGATTTATCATTTGTACTAAATCAGGGTTCGCGTATTTTTAGAATTGATGTACAAATTAAAACGGTTTTCTTACAATATACATATACGTGTATATCCAATAATATTTCGATAATTCGGTATTATCTGTGTAATTGCGGCAGTAAATTCCACTTCCGTTTCCGGTCCTCCCGAAAACGAGAATACGACAACATCATCATTCAGTTTGTTCTCATTTGATAGTCTAGATTGAACATCTTGAATAATTTAAGGATGGGTTGCGATGGAGGAACCATCCCTAAGCGCGATGAGTTGGTCAGGACTAAGAAAAAACCAGAACAAGTATGTTGTGATTGTGATTGTATATACGGAAAATTCACTGAGAATGATTCAACTTGAACTTGCTTTGACACTGATTAATCTAAACATCGGAGATCTTCATATGACGGACAAAATTTTACATTATTCATACTTGCCACCTTACATAGGACTGACATGCAGTGACGGGACATAAGTCTACACGTATATCTTGTAAAGAAACAACAATTTACTTAGCTTCTGTAACCGTCTCTTTTGGTGGAAGGAGTTCCTTATTACATTTAGGAGCGACCTTTCGGTGTAGGTTCTTATTCCGTTATCAAACACCGTCAGAACCTACACTGAATCGTCGGCAACAATGCAGTTTACCGGGCGCAGTTGAGCTCTACCATCCGCTCATTTACCGCGCTATAGTGCCACTGCTGTCTCGTTATACCGTTACCGTGCCTCACACTCTGGTGACTCTCGCTTCACGATCCAACGCCCGTTTTTGGTCTTAGGGAAACTTACACATCTTTACGATCCAACACCCGTTCTTGGTCTTAGGGAAACTTACACGTCTTTCCGATCCAACACCTGTTTTCGGTCTTAGGGAAACTTACAGGTCTTTACGATCCAACACCCGTTTTCGGTCTTAGGGAAACTTACTCATCTTTACGATCCAACACGCGTTTTCAGTCTGAGGGAAACTTACACGTTTTACGATCCACCACCCCTTTTCGGTCCTTAGGGTTAGCTTGCTTTGGGCAAGGGTTAGCCATAAATTCTCACCTTTTCAAGCGTTAATCCGCTTAATCCCATTGGTCAGTCATGTTGACATAAACAATGGCGGGTGTGGTTTCAAGAAAAGATGAATGGGAGAGCGGACCGTGACGTCACACGCATGCACAATTCATTGTTTACTGAATTACGCATGCATGTTTATGGGGATTCTAATCATCCGTTAAACAAGCACTGATTACATGTGATAGCGCCTGTGGTCCAGTGGTAGAGCGTTGGCTAATTAACACATTAAGTAGTAGAGCCGGTGAGCCGGCGAAGCGCGTTCGAGCCCCCAAAGCGCTAATTGGATCTGGAAAAGTGCGCCCGGTAAAGTGCACTGCTCCCGAAACGTCCCTCCTAATTGTAATCATTAAGGTGTTCATCCATATAGGCCTATCTTATCATTACTTAGTACTCAAAGTTCTAAATGACTCATTAAAGAAGTTAGTAAATACTTTCAAATAACTCCGTTAGCATGTTTAGTGTCAATGCTCTTATTGTACAGTTGCCTGGCAAAATCATTGAAACCTATGATTGTGGGTTCGAATCCCGGTTCGCCCTGATTATGTTTCTAGGTTTGTCAGCACCATACCCGTGCTCGTGGGTTTCACCGAAGTGGTAAACGTCCGAGACCTGCATCACTTGAGACCTGCATCACTTCGGGCTTTCCTCCCACATTAAGCTGACACGCCGCGATATAACTGGAATACTGTTAAAAGCGGCGTTAAACCAAACTCACTCACTCACTCAAGCCCAAACTTGATATCATACCCAGCCACTTGTTGATTTAATCTTTGAATTATATTGGCTTAGCGAGTCAAGTAAAAAATCAAGGTTTCAGCCTATTGAGAACTCCAGTACATACCATCATACCATAAACATGATCAAGTCTGCACTACACACATCAGTTTGCATCAATGTCGAGTGATGAGTACAGTATTCGACGTTATAAGCGCCCCGCTCTAATAAGCGCCCACGGCGATATTTGCTGATATATTGGCTAGTAAACAATCCTAATTAGCACCCCTTCCGATTGATCAATGTACACAAGACTTATTTATTCGCGCATATGCACACTCGTGTGTTATATGCACCTTAATTATGGGCAATTAAATTCTGGAAAAATATATCTGTCGTACATAAACATTTCAGGCTGTCACCATAAACCATGAAATTTATCTTTCAACTCTCTTTTTTTCCACCAAAATAATATTCTAATAAGAGCCCCCTATTTCTAATTTTGAGAGCGCCCTGGTGCGCTTATTACGTCGAATACGGTAATTGATATTTAAGAGAGTAAGAATTAACAATAACTATGTTGTGTTCCATTAGGAAGCTTATACACTTTTAAGTTTACACAGCATTTTGATAGAAACAACCATCATGACTATGAATATAGACTGGCAAGAGGATTCAAGAGTCGTGGGAGAAGTGGTTTACAATTTGCTAGAATGGCCTGAAAAGAAGTTGTTGGTAGTTTAAAAAATTCATGCTAACAAATTTACATCAGTTATATTCAGGTGTGTAGCATGCACCAGATGTACTACAGTGACATTTTGTCTGTTATTTAGAAAGACAAGGCGGCCGACTTGGTGGCGAAATGGAAGCACTGCGCACTGAGCCAGGAGCGGCTGGTGGAACCCATCATGGCCTGTGAGCTGGGAAAGTAGGTAGCCATGCCGCAGTTGACATGCGGTGTGAACATGGCCATCGTTTTATCATTAAGACCAGAGATTCTTTACATACTGTTTATTTTTTGCAATCTGTTTTAACATTGTGTCAGACCAGAATACAGTTATCATGTTTTACACAGTGAGTGATTTCACTTTTAGCTTTTATAATAAAGTTAATAAGTGGATTAAATATTTCTAAAGCATGAGAATGCACAGTGACATTTAAACAATTAACATGATTAAATGAAATGATTTAATTTTATGAATGGCATGAATACTTATCATAGAAGAAGTTAAAAAGAACCAACTTTCATCCTTACTGCTCTATATTTCCTCTTTTGCTTGTACAGTAAATGTTTAAGTTGTCAAACTGTTTGAAAATTTTTGAAGGGGAGCTGGGTTTACAACTAGCCTCAACTCAGGTCCAAGCGTGGATGAGTGAATAAGTCATTCTGTGTTTCAGGCTGTACAACAGAGAGTCTGCCCTTGAATTTCTGCTGGACAGAAGTAAATTTGAATGTGCTCAAAGCTTTGACCATCTCAGAGTCCTCAAGGTACTTATGTAGAGAGTTTGATTGTAGTGAATTCTTCATCTTGTTAGCGATCAGATGTTATTCCTTTTTCGATAGGTAAGGAATCCAATCTTATCAGCAGGATGATTAGTGTTGTGGTCAAGGGGAGGTAATTCATCATTTATTGTGATAAGGAACCCAATCTGATCAGTAGGATGATTAGTGGTGTGGTCAAAGGGAGATATTTCATCATTTATTGTGACAAGAAACCTAATCCGATCAGTAGGAGGATCAGTGGTGTGGTCAACATGGTCAAGGGGAGGTAATTCATCGTTTATTTAAGCTTTCAGTGAACCAAGTTTTACAACAGAGTCTGCAATATTCAAGCTGTGTCATGACCACCTGTATGTAATTAACTGTAAGACAGGCACCAGTCAGCAATATTCCTCACAACCTAACCAGATATCCAAGCGACATAAACAAAACTTTTGATCACTCACAATTATTACCAGTTATGTGTAGCAATATTAGAATAACTTCTTTAAGTGGCATTTAGAAGTTGATGTGATGAAGTAAGACAAGTTCTATGGATGAACAACTTCTTTATTACAATTAGTGCGACGTTTCGGTGTAGATCCTGACACCTTTATCAAGCAAGGATTCGTTTCGGTGTAGATCCTAACATGTTTATCAAGCATCTTGCTTGATAAAGGTGTTAGGATCTACACCGAAACGTCGCACTAATTGTAATAAAGAAGTTGTTCATCCATAGAACTTGTCTTACTTCATTATTAGAATACCCCAACTCACTGACAGTGTTTACGCTCGTTATCACATCCAGTAACTAGAGAATGTCCCTTAGACTGCAGCTGCCTGCCGCTAACACGATGTAGAATGTCATGTTAATTACTTATTGCTGTGTTTCGCAACATGCTGATAGCATTTCTTGGACATTGAGGGCTTCAGATCCAAGTTGTCATTGTGTGGTTATAGGTGCACAGTTGAAACTGTTCCATTCAGTCAGCATTATTACAAGAATGATGATGAGAATACCGAATACTTCAACACAGTGATACTTATACATTTTTCAAGATTTCCTTGTGTTGTGTGTTGCCAGGACTTGAAGAAGCTGGAGCTGACCGTGAACCGGGGCTACGAGGGCTGGCTGGCGGAGAAGGGGGACAGCTATATCGACATGCAGAAGTCTGGCTACATCTGTCCAGTTGTCGGGCTGGAGATGAATGGAAAGTACAAGTATGTACTTGCACAGTGTGCAAACTCACAAGATTCCTGTACTGCATGTGTCTGTATTCTAGGGCTGGCAAAAAAGATCGATAATCAGAATTATCGTCAATGGGAAGAAATATTAACAATCATCATTAATTGTGTCATTAATGATATCTTACATAAACTGTTGATGAAATAAAGTTTAGATTACCAAGACAATCTTGTTATTGTCAATAATGTCAATTGTTGAAGATGGGAAGCAACTGTTTTTGTTATACATGTACCTCAAATGTCAACAAATTAATCCATGCATAAATGTGCCACATTCACCAGTGAAGTGAAACATGTTGATTTCTTTTGGAATTTTTTGCGTATTTGCTCAAAGCTACTTTTCTGATATTTATCGATAATTGATCGATATTAAGTTAACTAAAGCGCTTTAACGCGCTTTTAGGGGAAAATTCTTCATGCATTTTTGGGAGCCATGGTTTACCCCGCAGTGCATCCGGAGTAGCGGTACATCGAGGAGCGTTAAGTCGAGGGACCACTGTATTATGATACTCTATGATCTGTATCCATAGCCAGCCCTACTGTACATTGGGGTTACAAAACAAAGGTGTGCACGGCAACTCGAAACATACTCTGTATCAAGATATTCTATGACTGCTTGCTGATTTTCCATATGAAAGTGTCATTTTCAGAAGATTTTCGTTATTTTAAAATTAAAGTGTATCACGTTTATCCCCAAATGAATTTGACAAGACGTTGGCCTTTGATTGGTGGCTGGAGTCCAATGATTATCTGCTTCAGTAGCATGGCAATCGGGTAGCCTAGTGGTTAAAGCGTTCGCTCGTCACTCCAAAAACCCGGGTTCGATTCCTGACATGGGTACAATGTGTGAAGCCCATTTCTGGTGTTTACCACAGGAAAGTGCTGACTGACATGATGATGTTTTGATGATAGAGTACACTATGGCTACATGGAGTATTGTTTTGCTTCTCCAGATTCTGCTTTTCTTGGAAGTGTGGCTGTGTCGTGTCGGAGCGAGCGCTGAAGGAGGTCAAGACCGATGTCTGCCACAAGGTAGCTCATTCTCTTCAACAGACATTATACTACTAGACAGTTCCATGTGTAACCGATGAACCATGATAGTTTTCTTATTCAAAATACGAGATTTATATTCATTATCTTGGATTGATTCAAGAATTCATTTGGTGTAAAAAGAAGTTTGTTTGTTTGTTTGTTGTCTGATGCCGCACTCAGCTATATGATAGTGTAACAAATGTTATATATGGAATAACACTTTCTTTGTAAAGTACAAATTGTAGTACTCTTTGGGGTTGAGTCCCATCACAGAATGAGTCAGGTAATCACCAGCACACAATGGTAGCGATTTAACACACTCAGCTACCGAGGTTTCCACAGAAATTGAAGTCTGCCAACAGCTAGTCTAGATGACATGTTTTATGTAATCCTCTGACAAGTGTAAATTTTACCACTTTCTAAATGGCAACATGTATTTATATGACGGTGGTCTGTAAATAATCCAGTGATTGACATCATGTGCATCAGTCTACTCATTTGGGATATGATGACATGCATCAAACAAGTCCGTGAGGCTGACCACCCGATCCCGTTAATTGCCTTTTACAAGCATGGGTTGCTGAAAACCAGTTGTAACCCGAATCGTCCCGGGTGTAAAAACAAGTGATATCCAGATTTTACACTCAAAGACAACTTCAGTTTTGAGTTAGTGACACACTATCTGTTAGTGACACTTTGGAAGCTGTTGTATCAATGAAGACCTGGTTAACTTATAGATTGCAAAGTCTTTATTTGTTCCATGCGACATTTCACAACACACTGGTACAGATGCCAGCACCTTTATCAATCAAGTTATCGTTATTGATTATGTTCATATTAAAATATCTTCTAGATCAGAGTACCTGATGTTGAACTGACTGAAGATCATTTAACCATGTTGTTATGGGATCACTGTAAGGACTATTTGGTAACGAAGTGACTGGGGTCCCAATGTCCTTCGTCATCACAACTCATCATGCAGTGTTGCCTCCCTTTTCTAAGTGAGCCTTGCCTGGATCCGCTGCATTTCAAATCCCAGATTCAGAGTTCCAGATAAGCTTTTGGTGTTGTGGGTATTTTACCCATGCATTTTAAAATCATTGGGTATCAGTAATTCTATCTGGGTATTAAAATTTCTGTCACCCACTAGTTTTTACACATGTGGGTATTTAAGTTAAATATTTATAAACACTAATCATCTGGTCCCTGCAAACTGGTGTTGTGTGGGTTCGAGAGCTTTATAGGACTCAAGAATACCACGATACTTCCACAAGAAAGTGTGATGGCAAATGATCATGATGTAACTGTCATCGTGGAGTTTGGCAAGGTTGACGGAATGCCCGTTTATAATTTCGAAATAAGTTGCTGATTTGCTAAATGAATACGCAGGGTTACTTCACAATATTTTGATGATACGCACAAGTTTTATTTTTGTAGCGTATCTGTAATGTTCGTTGCGTATTTGATATGCTTGGATTTTATTTTACTGCGTATTTCTGCATTTCTGATGCATATTTTACGCAGATACGCAGCTCATCTGGAGATCTGCAGATTCTCCCCAATTACAATCCTTGGCCTGTGAGCATCAGACCTTTAGTTTCAATTTTAGACATATCGGCTATCAGTGAGGAAGCTGTATTTAAGCTCATGGTGTAGCATTAGTACTCTGCAGATTATCCCACCTCACTCTCTAGAAACTGAATTTCTCTCTCCTCTAGTGTGGGAAGCCATTTGCCCCTGAAGACATCGTGCTGATGAATGCAGCGGAGGAGGACTACGACGAGATGAAGACAAAAATGGAGGCACGCAGACTGAAAACCAAGATGGAGAAGGTGGGAATCATCATCATCTGTTTATTAGATATTTTGTGAAATTAAACTAAACACTAAACAAGTCTTCATCATGCAACTAAATCACTTAAATGTACGGCTACCTTAGTAGCTGGAAGCCTTATAGGGTCATATGATGGTCAATCAATTACCTATATTTGAATTTTATCTGAGATTATCTAAAGAAAGAGAACATGCAAAAGGGGATGAATTATGTTTCTTTCTTTTTTTCTAGAAAGCCAAAAAGGCAGAGAAACACAAGGTTGAGACAACCAGCCAGGCCGCTGAAGGTATGTTGTGTGAAGCCCCTTCCTTTAGCTACAGTTTGTTTTGATGTGGTAACTTCTGCATCAGAATGGGCCATATAGAAGCTCTGCAGAGTTGTGAGGTGAGGTGAGGTGAGGTGAAATGGGATTACTGTCGCGTCCTTGATTACTTATGTAACGATGTGCACGCACGTGTTGGTACGTATGGGGCTGCTTGTACTAGTCCTGATGATGCCGATTAATAGTGCTAGCCCACTGAGATATCATGCAGTTTAACATGAATACCCCACTCAGTTTACTGACTCTGAGCCAACCAGTCCTTGTTTCAGCCCCTTAATGCCAGGCGCCAGACATGGTAATAACAAGTACCATCTTTTGACGCCTTTTGGTATGGCGGGGCTGGGGATTGAACCCCTGGCCTTCCACTCTCCAGCTGATGCTCTACCACTAGACGGGGCGGTCGGGTAGCCTAGTGGTTAAAGCGTTCGCTCGTCACGCCGAAGACCCGGGTTCGATTCCCGACATGGGTACAATGTGTGAAGCCCATTTCTGGTGTCCCCCACCGTGATATTGCTGGAATATTGCTAAAAGCGGCGTAAAACTATACTCACTCACTCACTCTACCACTAGACCACAGAGGCTGTCACAGAGATATGACCATAATTCTGACAGGTTCTGCTGGTTCTGAAGTCCATATTGGCTGATAATGATCCTAGATCAGTCAGCATCCAACTCATGGGTACCAAAGTCATCAACAGGCAGTCCAGGCTCCAACAGTCAGTCCAGGCTCTGACAAACTAAAAACAGATATGATACCTTTAGTATTTGGGATGAATTACTTAGCATGTCAATGTTTCCTTACTTCAATACTTGGATAATTTGCAAGATGGATTGTTATAGGTGAAGCAAGTTCCAGCAAGAGAGTGAGAATTGTGGAGCCGGCCAAGGTAGAAAGTGGATCGTCCAAGCTGACCAATGGGCTGAAGAATCCCAGGACCAAAGTGACCAATGGGAAAGTAGAGGAAAAAGCAGCCAAAGCCAAAAGCATCCAAGAAGACCCCACCGCCAGCAAGGCATTCAAGTCTTTGTTTACCTCCTCTGACAGAGCAAGGAATCAACCCAAGGCTCACTGGGTCACGTTTAACCCCATGTATTATTGAACACTCTCTGTGGACATTGGACAGACTCTGTGAGAGTGTGTTCACACACAGCAGTAAGGTAGATGGTATCTCCACATGTGTCCAAGTCAGGATACTGAAGGCAACTCAGGGCAGTTGTAACACTACTCTATGGGACGATGAACAAGAATGTTATAAGTACAGACCGATCAGCATGTTCAGCTATTCGCAAAATAATCATTCATAGCAGTTATACTTGTAAATGATCAAGCCTTTCCTTTATTTATGACTAAACTCACAAGTCTCCATTTCTTGGTTTGGAGTTCACCTTAACAACTGTAACTAGGATGGGTGATGGCAGCATATTTCATGAAGTACTTGTAGAACTGTAGGTTTGATTTCCAACATGGACGCTACAGCAGCCACATTGAAAATGCCCTTTTCATTTTTGTTTGTTTGTGTAAGAGTGACAGAGTATGTTTCTCTGCTTTTAGCAATATTCTGGACATATTAGGGCAGACAATGCCATCAATGGGTTTAACACACTGTGCTTCTGTGGATTATGGGGCTGAAATTTAAGAAACGCTAGATTTTAAGTTAACAATGCAGCCATGCTGAAAATGTTGCTTGGCCAGCAAATAAAAGAATTATTAAAAAATATGAATTTAAAATGATTTAAAATGTAATCTGTAGTGTCTATATGCACAAAAGTCAGCTACAGAATCTCTGGCTCTATCTTTAGTCATGGAAGTCATTATCTCTGCAGAACAACAAATGTACATAGCTAGAATCATGTACAGTTACCATGGTTACATGTGATTTTATTGGTGAATATGTACTGTGTATATATTTTGTGTAAAATGTCCGTATTTGTGAATAAATTATCAATCTTTCATCAAATCTTCTTCATGGTACGTTTCAGCCTTCAACTCAGAAACAAGACAAGACAGGCAAAGCATAATCAACAATTTATTCCTCAACATTACCATATGATAGATCAGCATGCAGGACGATGTGTCGAGATGCTACACACAGCCAGTTTCTGTCTGCAGCGCTCAGGCAGTTAATCAAACAACTGGTTAACTAACTGATCTCAACAGTTAAAATGATAATCAATCTGCAAAAACTATTAGACTGAAAGTGGACACAATGTCGTGAAATCTGAAAGGTAAAAAGAAGTAAGACTACCAGGAAGTGTATTTTCACACAATATTCTCCACATTTGTAATTTTGTCTTGCACCACAGTGATGTGGTTTTGTCAACTAAGTATTGATGCTAATCAGAATTATGTCCTGGACCAGTTTGATGCTTGTGAAATCTCTACATCTTACTGTGTTAATGTTGGAAAATCACAGGGCCAACAACACAAGTCTTGAAGACATTTGACTATTAATAATCTAACTTAATTTAATTCTCCAGAACAGAACAGAGACTGCATGTTGTACAAGACTTGTTTCAGTGTAATGCGAGCTTCATACAGCCATTAAGAATGTTTTCATTACTGAGCCAAAAACAGTAACGCTGAATAAATGCTTCTTGTTTCAATGGACATCCTCGTCAACTCATTTGGTCTTTGCGGTCTTTCCGTTGGCATGGTGACAGAGGTTCTGGAAAGTGACCCAAAGTTTGCCTTTTAAACAATACTATTTTTTAAATTTTGTGCTAAAACCCCACAAAACTTCCAAGAAGTAAAAGACTTTCCCCTTCAGCTGAAAGCCATAACGACAATCGGCGGAACTATATGGCTAACAAAATAATAGTCTTGGTTCTCAGGCACCTATCCCGCATCATCATAAAGTCTCCTGCATGTTTCGTTTTTATTTCCATTTTCAAAAAATAAAAAAATAAAAATAATGCTTTAAAAAAATGTGATCCAACATTTCACACAGTTACTTCCCTTTACATGCACACTGCTTTACGGCGCATCTCTTATGAATATGGTCATGGCTTCAATAGGAGTTTGTACACTTGTTTATGTAGGTAGGGAGGCCCTTTCCCAGAGTGATGGTACACACCTGTTTATTCGGTTACATTCAAGGTTGAAACAAGCAAAAAAAACCAAAACAATACCGCCCACCCGCTCTATATTTTCCCAAGTCATTGCCTGAGAACCAATTCTTTCTTTTTTTTAATCCTATCATGGTACATAAAATATTACATAGGAATAAACAACATCTATACGAAGGAAACTAGGATATGATATATATTCAATAACAGATCTATGTTCTAGAATATCACAATATGTTTCAGATATAAAGATTGATAGCTCATCATAATCTATCAGTGTTGATCAGGATATGCTTAGATAATGTAAATAATGTCAGCAATAAAGCTTAAATGAAAGCAAAATCATAAGATATACATAATCACCAAATGTAAAATCACTTGATAACAATAAGCTGGTATTTCTGAGCTAGGACAGCAACTATTGCACATACATGAATACTTAGTTCATGTGAGATCAGTCATGGATGATGAATTATGAGGTTATAATCCAGTCAGTGATATTACAAGTGTATCATAGCAACCTGCAAGTGTGGTCAGGTCTGGACCACAGAGACCAAGTCAGTGATATTGCAACTGTATCATAGCAACCTACAAGACCAAGTCAGTGATATTACAACTGTATCATAGCAACCAGCAAGTGTGGTCAGGTCTGGACCACACAGACCAAGTCAGTGATATTACAACTGTATCATAGCAACCAGCAAGTGTGGTCAGGTCTGGACCACACAGACCAAGTCAGTGATATTGCAACTGTATCATAGCAACCTACAAGACCAAGTCAGTGATATTACAACTGTATCATAGCAACCAGCAAGTGTGGTCAGGTCTGGACCACACAGACCAAGTCAGTGATATTACAACTGTATCATAGCAACCAGCAAGTGTGGTCAGGTCTGGACCACACAGACCAAGTCAGTGATATTGCAACTGTATCATAGCAACCTACAAGACCAAGTCAGTGATATTACAACTGTATCATAGCAACCTACAAGTGTGGTCAAGTCTGGACCACAGAAACCAGTGGTCAATAGTGAGAGCATGGCTCAACAGGCAAGGCAAGATAAGACACTAGACCTGCCAGGCATTTGCTCTGTTCCATAATTCCCATCAGGAGACAACTGCCATTAGTGGGATTTACTCTGCCCCAGAAATTGTCATCAAGAGATGGTCAAGAGTACAGCAAAGTGTTCTGTTCCCAAAACCAAAGGGAAGACAAAGTTGGGCACCAGCGATCCCAGAGTGGACAGTGGTCCTGTAATTTGAAGAAATAACTAAACCCATACAAGTTTTTTCTTCCCTACATGAAACCTATCTCAATTTTTCACCCTAACATCCCCATAGCAAGCGTATATGGCTTGGGGGTATCTAATTTTGATGTGTTCAGCAGCTACCATACTTTCGAACAAAAACTCCCCCCACAAGTTCTACACCATAACAATACTGGGTAATTTTTTTTACAAATAAAACAATAATTAAAACACTTCATTCTATTTTCATTATGCTAATAATCTGTAAAAACATTCATATGTCAACCATTAAAAAAAATGGATCTACCTGGACAAGACAATTTCACACTCTTTGAGAGCACACAAGCATATGACAGTGGACTCAATATCCATTGTGTACAAAAAGACAAACATATAAACATAATACTGCAGGTGGACAAGAAGTGACATGACTGAAGAAGCGATGGGATATAAAGACATGTTCTGGTAACCCCTGTATGTTTTCCTCTCCGTGATACGCCAGTACAGTCAGGTCTCGTTAATCTGACACTCATTCATCCGCCAATGGGCTTTATCCGACACTAATGGCCGATTAAATCAGTGCTATTTAGACCCGTTAATCCGACAGTCTCACACTCCGACTCCGACACACTTAATTTGCAACGAATTACCAAAATCACTCATTAATCAGTCTCGTTAATCCGACACTGTGGTCAGCGTACTCCGTGGTCATATGTCCAGGAGTACACAGCCCCATGTTTTGATGCGAAACGAGTCAGCGAGTGGCTGCATATTTCAACGGCTGCAGAGATAAACTTGCTTAACAATAAACAATTACTGCTTTTAATAAACAAAACAGGATTAATCACATGTCTAGATTACCTTAATCTCATAAAATCGGATACAAGTTCTCGCTACCACTGAGGACATCCCATTACAGGTCACGTCAATAATAGGCTAGTGTTATAAGTGGTGCTGAGGAGTTGACATCTTTCTGGGAGCTTTGGACTTTCCAGGAACAGAAAGTAATCCTGTGGATTTGATATACATTGTGATGAGAACAAAAACATTCCAGTAGTTTGGAGTTGGAACATTTTACAAAACAAGGCTTTCTCAAGACATGTCTAAATGTCCCTCAAGGTACCGACCGGTACATGGGGCAGATTTGATACAAGTCTGTATTAATAACTCTCCTAGATGCTTCCTTTGTGGTGATGGAAATAGATATTAGATTTGTTCGGTGCACAAATGAACAAACTAATGTTGCATGAACCGACGCTCATGACCGCATCACATGTGATGTTAAAGATCCAAGCCTCGAGATGCACCATTTTGTCTCATGCAGGATTAGCGTGTTAAGTTTGGAAATCACATGCAGCATATCATGATAAGAATACAGACACTGCTGACTTTTAGTTTTGTCATTGAGTGATACACATTGAAAACATCTCTTGTTAACATACATACTTCTCTATATGTTTCTATGGTTCGCATTACTTTTGGCGGTGAGTATACATACTGATTTGGCACCACACTGTACCAGTACAAGGCTTCCTGTATGACAGCCACTACTGTGACGTGGATTGAGGTATATTCTCCCTGGTAGCACACTGTTCAACTTCACACAAAGATTCCATCCTCACCAACCTTTCAAAACTTTGAGAACCAAACGTTGCTCAGCTTGGCTTCCAATTTAGTTTTCTGTCAACAATATTGGGCTCACGTTTCACAGTATCAATTGGAGGCAAAAACATCAAGAGAATATCAGATCCAAATAAATATCACAACTGTTGTAAGTTAGGGTATCATATCACAACAAACACATGATACCACTGCCCTATGTGGAATTGAAAAGACAACAAAATAAGCTTAGTTTACCTGAACATAAATGTAAATGAAATATCCTCAGGGAAACACGATGGCAAATATCATTACTGGTAAAAGTAAGATGTGGCATTTCAAAATAATTGGAAAAAACAAGTGTCAGTTGCGTTTTGATATATCCTTGAGTTGAGTTTGTTTGTTTGGTGTTTAAGCCGTACTCAACAATATTCCAGCTATATGAAGATAGCTGTAAATAATCGAGTCTAGATCAGACAATCCAGTGGTTGATATCATGAGCATCGATCCACACAATTGGGATACAATGACATGTATCAACCAAGTCAGCGATCCTGACCACCCGATCCTGTTTGTCCCCTTTTACGGCAAGCATGGGTTGCTGAGGACCTATTCTACCCCGGTGTTAGTTGAGGAAAAGTTTCACCTAATAACACTAACTGTAATAAATATATTGCGGATATAATGCTGATATGTCACAACACGAGAAGTTACCAGGTTACAGGTATTTGCCGTGGAATGCAAGCTGAACTATAACATCTCGTAGCAGTGGACTGGCGATACAGATTCACTCCATAAAGTTTGCTCATTTGAAAACAAATCTTGACATGAGGGACATACATGTATATACTAGAAGCACAGACAACTTCCGTAAAAAACATTCATTCCGGTTTGGGGACCCAAATACTGCAGTCTACCCCAAGCACAACGTATCTCTTTTACAACAAAGGTAAACAATTATTCAAATTTTTAAAAATGTTGAATGTTACATGCACATCCTATGATAACATGGAATAAAGAGTATATCTTTGGCTATGATATGGAATACCAGACTACTGGCCGTGTTGAACAGCACCATATATATGTACATACACAATGCCCCGCCTACTGACACTGAGAGGGACACAGGCTTTATAATATACACTTGCAATAATTTCTCCAGTTTCGATTAATCTGAATGTTGGAAAAAAATAAATCGAAAACACATAAACAGAAAGAAGATATACACAAAACATATAATTGTGGAAATAGGAATGATTGTATATCAGCTGTATCAGGATATTTCAGTTAAGAAAATAACTTTTGAAAATGTTTCTGTAAATTATGATATAGTAAAGTCACACATCAAAAGAAGTTAAAGGTACTCTTCCATACACACTGTCCTAAACTGAATAGCTAGACCGATCTTCTTGTTTCACAGACATTCTTGACATATATGACAAGATAAACTGTAGGAAAGACCTTGACTGGCTGTTAATCTTAAAAGAAATAAAATTGAACTAAATCATTTCATAACACTAATTTGAAAATGTCTGATCTTCAAGGGACTTGTATTATCATTTATCAAAACAAAAACACCAGAGAAGGGTTTCAAAACATCTGTTCTTTGAAAAATAGCAAAATGTTTTTGCTTTACTCACTTCTGTATGAGTTAAGAAAAACTTGTCTACCAAGGAAGGTCATGGTTGGTCTGACCCAAAGAGTATTACACCGATGTGAGTAACAGCAGATCATTAACACACGGTGGTAGTGCATTTCGCCATTGTCAGTGTCATACAAACTGATTATGCTTAAAAGATAACAAATATATCAACATGGAAATGCAAAAAGTCTGTAACTGAAACACCTTAACATATGGATTGCACTTGATCAGCAGTTGACAGTGTTACAATTTAGACTGAAGTGTAAATACTGCAGCATCAAGCAACACCAGTAAAACAGGATGACAACAGAAAAACAAACATGGTAAATAAATATGAGAGTGTGAGCAGCTGTAACAGCATAGGAAACTCAATGGAATGTTGTGTTACTGAGTTGATCCAGTAAAATGTTGTGTTACTGAGTTGATCCAGTGAAATGTAGTGTTACTGAGTTGATCCAGTAAAAAGTTGTGTTACTGAGTTGATCCAGTAAAATATTGTGTTACTAAGTTGATCCAGTGAAATGTTGTGTTACTGAGTTGACCCAGTAAAATGTTGTGTTACTGAGTTGATCCAGTAAAATGTTGTGTTACTGAGTTGATCCAGTAAAATGTTGTGTAACTGAGTTGACCCAGTAAAATGTTGTGTTACTGAGTTGACCCTGTAAAATGTTGTGTTACTGAGTTGATCCAGTTAAATGTTGTGTTACTGAGTTGATCCAGTTAAATGTTGTGTTACTGAGTTTACCCTGTAAAATGTTGTGTTACTGAGTTGATCCAGTAAAATGTTGTGTTACTGAGTTGATCCAGTAAAATGTTGTGTTACTGATTTGATCCAGTTAAATGTTGTGTTACTGAGTTTACCCTGTAAAATGTTGTGTTACTGAGTTGATCCAGTAAAATGTTGTGTTACTGAGTTGATCCAGTAAAAAGTTGTGTTACTGAGTTGATCCAGTAAAATGTTGTGTAACTGAGTTGATCCAGTAAAATGTTGTTACTGAGTTGATCGAGTAAAATGTTGTGTTACTGATTTGATCCAGTTAAATGTTGTGTTACTGAGTTGATCCAGTTAAATGTTGTGTTACTGAGTTTACCCTGTAAAATGTTGTGTTACTGAGTTGATCCAGTAAAATGTTGTGTTACTGAGTTGATCCAGTAAAATGTTGTGTTACTGATTTGATCCAGTTAAATGTTGTGTTACTGAGTTTACCCTGTAAAATGTTGTGTTACTGAGTTGATCCAGTAAAATGTTGTGTTACTGAGTTGATCCAGTAAAATGTTGTGTTACTGAGTTGATCCAGTAAAATGTTGTGTTACTGAGTTGATCCAGTAAAATATTGTGTTACTGAGTTGATCCAGTTAAATGTTGTGTTACTGAGTTGATCTGGTAAAATGTTGTGTTACTGAGTTGATTCAGTGAAATGTTGTGTTACTGAGTTGACCCTGTAAAATGTTGTGTTACTAAGTTGATCCAGTGAAATGTTGTGTTACTGAGTTGACCCAGTAAAATGTTGTGTTACTGAGTTGATCCAGTAAAATGTTGTGTTACTGAGTTGATCCAGTAAAATGTTGTGTAACTGAGTTGACCCAGTAAAATGTTGTGTTACTGAGTTGACCCTGTCAAATGTTGTGTTACTGAGTTGACCCTGTAAAATGTTGTGTTACTGAGTTGATCCGGTAAAATGTTGTGTTACTGAGTTGATCCAGTAAAATGTTGTGTTACTGAGTTGATCCAGTAAAATGTTGTGTTACTGAGTTGATCCAGTAAAATGTTGTGTTACTGTAACTCAGGGAAATACTTACACATGAAGGGAGTGCATGGCTTTACACTTGGGAATGGCATACAGAACAAATCTCTGACATCACCATCCCATCCCTTAGTGTTGACTATCAGCACGGAATAGATGTGCCTTTCAATACACCTTTGGCCATGTACTACCATGTCAAGAGATGGATGTGTAAAGAAATGCACCATGAGAAGTGTGTCAACATGATTGTGATTGTTAAACAAAAATTTTTCACATTATTTCATTTACAGTTGATAGACATAACAGCAAATTCACTTTCACCTTTTTGTATAAAATATCTTGTCACAGATAAAAGCTATGACTGTACTTACTCTATCAACATATCCCTCACCCACATTTAAACCAACAACCTCGTAACAAGCAGGACAATGATATCTTGCCACTGCCTTCCATTAACTGCTAATACACAGACAATTATGTTAGCACTGTCATCAAGAGATATGTAATATAGAGAGGATGAGTGCCAGTACTTTATCAGGATATAAACATTCCATCACGAGAACAAAGGGCAAGGCGAAGCTCTTTGTTCTCGCGACAGTAGGTTTATTTCCCGATGAAGGACTGGCACAAGTTCTCTATCTATCTTAGAGCACAAGCAAATACTTCAGTTCTACAAACTATACACTGCAGATCGCACAAACTGTACCATTCACGTTTGAAGCACATTTCATAATTTCATATAATCTGTGCGGTTAGTGCAGACAACTATTTGTTGTTGATTTAATCTCATGTTGAAAGGTGAACTTTCACACAGAACAGGAATTTCACGCCTCCATGAACTGAATACTCCATAGTTCTTTATCAGCAGAGTAATGCGCTGCACCTGACAAAAAAGTGACCACCCATTGGACGAAATCATTTGCCTGTGCTCTGAATAGGAAACAAAGGAGAAGTTCTGACAGAAGTAAACAACAGAGAAACAAGTAGTCAATTCACCATGACCATTGATGACAAGCCAATGTCATGTCGATAAATCTTCACAGACATAAATAACTTCATTTGCACCATTTTGGCAATGTTTGTGAAAAGTGTCTTCTCATTGAATCTATGGCTGTTGAACAAACAACAGGTTGATATGAGTCGTTTCAATGGCACCGGTCCACCTCAGCCATGTCAGTTGTTGTTGTTATCATTGTTGTTGTTATTGTTGTTGTTGTTCTCTGTGGCGCCATAGTTCTTGTTGTCCTGAGTGTCAAGAGTTATGGCTGAGTTTTCGTGTCCGACCAGGGACTCCTGGGAGCTGGACATGTCGCCCTCCTTGGCTGTGAGGATCGGGGTACAGTCCTGGTCCATGCTGGACCCGTGTGTGGCGGCCCCTGTTGGCTGGACCTGCCCCACGTTGACACTCGCCAGCAGCCACGCTAAAACATAAGGAGGAACTGTCATGTGTCTAGTTCGGGACAGATGTTACAGAGAATTTAGACACGTATCTGATGCTGATGTCTTTGTGTGTCCTACTGAGTTGTTTGATCTTGGAGGATAGTTATGAAGAGTGAGTGAGTGAGTGAGTGAGTGAGTGAGTGAGTGAGTGAGTGAGTGAGGTTTTTATGCTGCTTTCAGCAATATTTCAGCAATATCATGAAATGGGCTTCACTCATCGTACCCATGTAGGGAATCGAACCCTGGTCTTTGGTTGATGTTGGATAAAAAACTTTTGAGACCCCCACCCCCCCCCCCCCCACCCCCCTAGCAGAGCCATTAGCGATGTCATTTGATTGTGATGTCATGGTAACCAATGATGTCACAATGGCCTGCAAAGCATTGTGATGCAATTTGATTGCAGCAATATCTACAATCTAGATATTGCTTCATCTCACGCAAGCATATCACCTGCGGGAGCCAGTTTTGGATGATCAAATACATTATAAAACATTGAGAAGTCAGGTAAGTTTACTTTGTCGAATGGAAAACTGCAGGGCCACTAACCCCTCACCCTAAACTTAAGGAATTAAGATTTTTATCCCAAATCAAACTTTGAAACTGGTTGAAACATAGTTCCTATGGTGTACTTCAGTAATCATACTAAGATTATTGTTGGTTCATTGAAAACCATGGTCTCATACCATCATATCTTAGCTTCAGTAATCATAGCCAGGATATTGTCGCCTCAGTGAAATCCATGTGTTCAAACTAGGTGAAAACTTCAGTGAAAGCAACACATTCATGCAACGTTAACCTTCAGTAACGTCAACAAACTGCCCCACTGAAGGAGGAAATGTAGGGCCAACATCAACAAGTGAACTATCAATGATCGTTGGATTAAAACCAAGAGACAAACTAATGCCAGAACAGAGAATTTTCAAAACACCAATAAACAATCAACATGTTCAGAAAAGGGTATTTTCCTGAGACAAATGTCATGACGATAATGCTGAAATGAAGAAAACAAATTCAGTACAATCACAAGGTCAAGGTTTGAGTGAGTGAGTGAGTGAGTGAGTGAGTGAGTGAGTGAGTGAGTGAGTGAGTGAGTGAGTGAGTGAGTGAGTGAGTGAGTGAGTGAGTGAGTGAGTGAGTGAGTGAGTGAGTATGGTCTTACGCCGCTTTGCAATATTCCAGCAATATCACAGCGGGGGACACCAGAAATGGGCTTCACACATTGTACCCATGTGGTGAATGGAACCCGGCCTTCCTCGTGACGAGCGAACGCTTTCACCACTTGGCTTCTCCACCACCCCTGCAGCAGCACAGACTGGGAGCCGCGAACTCGACTTGTCACCTTACTGTCTTCCACAAGGGGTGGCTCTTTCAGAGAATAACTCAGTGATAACTTGTACCAAGTGAATGTTATCATTGAACAAAATATATTAAACCCAAACAATGGATTCAACATTTAGTATAGGTGTTATATTTTCATTTAATGCTTCCTTCTGTTGAAACCATTGCAATTTTGGTTCAGTGAAACAAATGGGTTAAACTGAACTGACAATATTGTAATTTAACTGAACCTACAATATTGTAATGCTCCAGATGGAATAGCTTCATCTCTCTGTATCTACTCACATAAGACATAACGACCCACATGTACTCACATAAGACATAACGACCCACATGTACTCACATAAGACATAACGACCCACATGAACTTACATAAGACATAATGACCCACATAAACTCACATAAGACATAACGACCCACATGTACTCACATAAGACATAATGACCCACATGAACTCACATAAGACATAACGACCCACATGTACTCACATAAGACATAACGACCCACATGAACTCACATAAGACATAATGACCCACATAAACTCACATAAGACATAACAACCCACATGTACTCACATAAGACATAACAACCCAGTTGAACTCACATAAGACATAATGACCCACATAAACTCACATAAGACTTAACGACCCACATGAACTCACTGGAAACATAACGACCCACATGAACTTACATAAGACATAATGACCCACATAAACTCACATAAGGCATAACGACCCACATGAACTCACATAGGACATAACCCACATGAACTCACATAAGACAACCCACATGAACTCACATCAGACATAACAACCCACATGAACACACATAAGACATAGCGACCCACATGAACTCACATAAGACATAACGACCCACATGAAATCACATAAGACGTTATATAACGACCCACATGAACTCACATAAGACATAACAACCCACATGAACTCACATAAGACATAACGACCCACATGAAATCACTTAAGACGTTATATAACGACCCACATGAACTCACATAAGACATAACAACCCACATAAGACATAACCCACATGAACTCACATAAGACAAAGCCTCTTATGTTATGTGTCTACTCACAGGGGAAGAGTTCTGGTGCCACTTGGGAAGGCGGGGCTAGAACTTTGTCCTTGTCAGGCTCTGGTCGCTTCACGGTGACAAAGTACACTCCGATAAAGCACAGGATGCACCTGTAATAGAAAGACAAGTGTAGCTCAAGTTTCAAATCCAGATCACCACATAAATGAGGGATTAGATTTGATCTGTACACATTGTCACCCGTTGTATTCATTCTTATACAAAAAGAACTACAGCAAAAAACTTAATTGTTGAGACACTTTGAGACATCTAAGCATGGTACTGGGTGATATATAAAAGAATATTCAACAAATGCACATACCGTATTCGACGTAGTAAGCGCCCAGGGCGCTCTCAAAATTAGAAATAGGGGGCTCTTATTAAAATATAATTTGGTGGAAAAAACAGAGTTGAAAGATAAATTTTGTGGTTTATGCTGACAGTCTGAACTGTTTATATACGACAGATATTTTTCTAGAATATAATTGCCCATAATTAAGGGTGCATATAACACACGAGTGCGTATTATACACGAATAAATAAGTCCTGTGTACATTGATAAATTGGAAGGGGTGCTAATTGGGATCGTTCACTGGCCAATATATTAGCAAATATCGCCGTGGGCGCTTATTAGAGCGGGGCGCTTATTACGTCGAATATGGTACTAGAGATTTAAGCAATCATCTGCATGTCTGTGTAAGGGAAAAGGACAATTCAGTAATGACACTTACCCAAATAAGAACATACAGATTTCCAAGGCATTCATTCCCCAGAATTCTTTATAAAAAATAATTCCTGCAAAAGAATTGGTGAAGTTAGATGGCCATGAAAACAGAGGAGGGTTACATTTAGTAGGTATCATCTTAAAACCATTCTTTGTAAGATAGGGCTTAAAAAAATAAAAGAATTGGTTCTCAGGTAATGTCTTTTGAAATATGTGTGTGTGTGTTTAAGTTAGCATATTATAGCATTTCACTGTTGTGTTCGAGATGCGGAATATTTAAAGATTTTAAAAAACGAAAACATCCGGCAGACTTTATCATGATGTGGGCGGCGCCTGAGAACCAAAACTATATAAAAAAAACCAGCCTAGGGTGACCTTATTCCATTCAGAATCAATCTTGAGACAAACTTCCTGACCAGTGAGCTATCTCAATCTTCTAAACCAGCATTTAAATACGATACAGAGATATTATTAGCTGTATTTGTTATCATATCGTAAATATTATGTATTAGAAATAAAAATTGTACAATGTGAGCTTTTTGCGAGTATAATGCAGGCTCTTTATTCCTAATATATGAGATTTTTGTTCATCATGTAATGGTTGGTGTTATTGATGCTACAAAGTACCAATCAGCTGTTTGAACATACCTGCTACAATGGCACTGACTGTGAAGAAGACGAAGTTGGTGGGGACAACCACCGTCGAGTCAAAGTTCTTCATGGCCTGGTTCAGGTACCTGTAACCATGGTAATCAAAATACACAAGTTTCGACTTAGATGCTGCCAGTATTCAAGAAAAAATGGGGAATCCCCTCTTGGACTATACATGTTGGAAAACCAGGAGAACGAGTGCGTGAGTGAGTGAGGTTTTACGCCGCTTTTAGCAATATTCCAGCAATATCACGGCGGGAGACGCCAGAAATTAGCTGCACATGTTGTACCCATGTGAGGAATCAAACCTGGGCCTTCGGCGTGACAAGTGAACACTTAAACCACCAGGCTACCCTGCCGCCCCTGATTCTGTAGTAGCCCAGAAAAACACAAAGAAAATGGACAATCTGAGATTTTTGTGATTGTTACTACAGTCTTTTCTTTTGCTGCAATGCCTATATGCTAAATTTAACAATAAATGCTAGTTGTTGATCAAAAGGGCTCTGGATGAAAGGGTATGATCTAAGGCCTTTGTCAAGACTCCATGAACCTTGGACAACCTGGATTCTGCAACTAGAACTGTTGTGCATGTATCTTCTAGTTATTGAGTGAGTGAGTGAGTATGGTTTTACGCCGCTTTTACCAATATTCCAGCAATATCACGGCAGGGGACACGAGAAATGAGCTTCACACATTGTACCCATGTCAGGAATCGAATCTTCTAGTTATTGACACAGACTGATCTAGAAGATGTAACTCACTTGACTTGCACTACAGCAGTAGCCACCATCACGACCAGCATGATATAGAAGATGGGTTGAGCAAACTGGGAGGTTCCGCCCACTGACAGATTCAGCATGCTTGACACTGCCTTGGCTGAGATGACCGTGAAGGAGGCTGCAAGACGAGGGGGAGTATGAGCATCGTCATGAAAATCAACACACATCGACACAACATATCAGCATATTCCTGTCTGTAAGTACCATATGGACGGTGACTCCATTTATATTTTTTATCAAGTCAGTTCCAGAAAACGGTGGAAACAATTTATTTGTTTTTGCGTTACATGGACATTCTGGATGCGCTGAGAAAAAGGTGTCACGGTGAAAATTCTTTGGATTCTCTTTTCAAAGTACTTGTTCGACTTTCAGCAGTGTCAGAAAAAAGATGTTGTCAATTCATCATGTTCACTGTTACTCTACTAGGCATTTACACAACAAGGATAAACAGGGCTTTGCCTCTGATTGAAAGTGAGTGAGTATGGTTTTACACCGCTTTTAGCAATATTCCAGCACTATCACGGCAGGCAGAAATGGGCTTCACACATTGTACCCATGTCGGGAATCGAACCCGGGTCTTCGGCGTGACGAGCGAACGCTTTAACCACTAGGCTACCCGACCGCCCCTCTGATTGAAAGAGTGGATTGACTAGATAACTAAGAACTGTTTGATGAGTTGTTAAAAAAATAACCGTTTGATCAACTTGTTTAAAGAAACACATTTGACACTGTACTTTGTGAGAAAGTCAGTCATTATATTAGTGTATACTTGTTTATATTGGGTGCTTGCAATGCCACAGTTTCCAGAAGGTGCAGTGAACCTGATGTGACAAGTCAAGAAAATGTCAAGACAAAAATGCATCATGTTAACAATGTGTGTAAGGCATACTTACTTACTGCATTAATATCAAGCTCGCAAAGAGTAACTTCATGATATAAAGTATCTGCCTATGGGTCCATAGTATATGATTGTTGGTCCATAGTGAGTGAGTGAGTGAGTGAGTGAGTGAGTGGGTGGGTGGGTGGGTGGGTGGGTGGGTGGGTGGGTTGCTGAGTGAGTGAGTGGGGTTTAATGCCGCTTTTAACAGTATTAGAGTTATATTGCTGTGCGTCAGCTTAATGTGGGAGGAAAGCCCGAAGTGATGCAGGTCTCAGACTTTTACCACTTCGGCGAAACCCACAAGCACGGGTATGGTGCTGACAAACCTAGAAACATAATCGGGCTGAACTGGGATTCAAACCCACGATCATAGATTTCTGGCGCACTCAGGGGAAGCAACTCTGCACAGTGAATTGCCGCGCCTTAGACGACTTTGCCACCCATGCACCCTATTGGTCCACAGAAGATGATGAGTGGTCCACAGCATATGGCTAGTGGTCCACAGAAGATGATGAGTGGTCCACAGCATATGGCTATTGGTTCACAGAAGATGATGAGTGGTCCACAGCATATGGCTAGTGGTCCACAGAAGATGATGAGTGGTCCACAGCATATGGCTAGTGGTCCACAGCATATGGCTAGTGGTCCACAGCATATGGCTAGTGGTCCACAGAAGATGATGAGTGGTCCACAGCATATGGCTATTGGTTCACAGAAGATGATGAGTGGTCCACAGCATATGGCTATTGGTCCATAGAAGATGATGAGTGGTCCAGAGCATATGGCTATTGGTCAATAGAAGATGATGAGTGGTCCAGAGCATATGGCTATTGGTCCACAGAAGATGGCTATTGGTCCACAGAAGATGATGAGTGGTCCACAGAAGATGATGAGTGGTCCACAGCATATGGCTAGTGGTCCACAGCATATGGCTAGTGGTCCACAGAAGATGATGAGTGGTCCACAGCATATGGCTATTGGTCAATAGAAGATGATGAGTGGTCCAGAGCATATGGCTATTGGTCCACAGAAGATGGTGAGTGGTCCACAGCATATGGCTATTGGTCCACAGTAGATGATGAGTGGTCCACAGCATATGGCTATTGGTCCATAGAAGATGATGAGTGGTCCACAGCATATGGCTATTGGTCCACAGGGTATGGTATGACACTGACCTGTGATGGAGGTGATGAGAAGGTAGATGACAACCAGCTTCATCTGGAACCTGTACAGCAGGACGAGCAGCACGATGATAGCCACCAGCTCAATCACCTGCCGACACACACTTCAACACTAGTGGCATGTCAACACATGTCAAGATTTAGCAGCTGATAGCGGTATAGAAAAATTAGGCATGTTAGCCAAAAGGTCCTTACAACCCTAATGTTTGAGATTGAGGAGGTCCCAAGATTCAAACGCTACAACAGCAAACCTTAACAACCCTAGGACACACTTTTGCTCTCATCACTGTTTATTTGATATGTTATCCTGACATCAGTGCACACCGACTCACGTGACAACCAACATCCTCACCAAACAAGACTCATCTCGGAAATTTATGGGGTTGGATGGTTGGTTGGTTTGTTGTTTATTGCCGCACTCAGCAATATTCCAGCTATATGACGGCGGTCTGTAAATAATCGAGTCTGGACCAGACAAACCAGTGATTAATATCATGAGCATCGATCCACGCAATTGGGATCGATGACATGCATCAACCAAGTCAGCGAGCCTGACCACCCGATCCCGTTAGTCGCCTTTTATGACAAGCATAGTCACCTTTTACGGAAATTTATGGGGAGTGATATTTAAGCAATATCAGTAATTTCATTTCTTTATACAGAGGACGGACTAAACCATCTCAGCACTAGGACTGCCACTTGGCACTTAACTCGCTACAACGACCAGTTTATCACTCTCACTCTGCTGGATACTCACAATATAAACTAGGAACGATATTTGGGTCAGGGCTGCCACTATTTCATCTCCACTCAAGACTTTCTCCTTCTGGAAACAAACAAAACATTCTTTTGAACATCGGTAATTCAAGGTCTTTCCTGGTGCATAATAGAAATTAAGATTGCTTAATAATTAGATTAATTTTTCTCTCCTTTTTTCATTTCCTACAAGGATACCAACATGTATTACTCACACTTGAACATTCTAGTGAGATCAAGTTTGCTGGAACAACAAAGTAGCTACCAGTGTTTTTTATTTATTTCCTCACATCAAGCTCATCTGACCTACCCGAGAGGAGAATGTCACGAGAAGAAACGCTCCGATGATGGCCAGAGCACATCCTGAAACAAGGGGAAAGAGGGATCACACAATGTAACATGGCCGTGCTGAAGTCTCTACTTCAGAATCCCTGACAAACACTCTCAAGGCCAAACTGACATCCACTGGTTTCCGATGGATAGATTAGTACCAGTTGACCTTAGAAACCCCATAGGATTCCTCACATGGAATTCTGAGGGTAATATCTACCTGAGAAACGGAACCGGCTTCCCCTTAGGTGGAATACACACATTTTGTAACATACACACAAAATATACTTAGTCATGTCTTTTCCAAACTCTCTCATAAACCTACCTTACGGTGACAAATCCTACTGCTGCATTCAACATGTACACCGCTCCAGACAATTGTTTGAGATTTTGAGTATTTACTCACAAGTTTTCTTTCACATGGGTGGTTTTCTTTTGGTATTTCATATAATTCGACCACTTTCGGTCTGTCTATTGGGTATTTTTACATCAAACAGGTGACTCTTTTTTAATAATTTTGCCTTTATACTGTTTCAAGTGTGTAACATGTTGCATAAACTCACAACAGCCATATACAAGTCTAATTAACAACAAGCATGAAATACTCATATCCCCTGCTAATATGACATGTCCGGTTGTGTGCAAGGCAAGAAACATTTACGGTTTTCAAGATCTGCTCCGGAAACGAGCACTACCGCCATTTTCAGCCTAAGGCAAAGTCGTTGTTATGGAAACTTGAATTATTTTTTTTTTTAAAATCCCCAACTCAAAAGGCACCAATTTACCACTAGACCTATCTATGTATCAAGTTTGGTGAAGAAATATTGTACGGTTTTCAAGATCTGCTCCGGAAAGGAGCACTACCACCATTTTCAGCCTAAGGCAAAGTCGTTGTTATGGAAACTTGAATTATTTTTTTTTTTTAAATCCCCAACTCAAAAGGCACCAATTTACCACTAGACCTATCTATGTATCAAGTTTGGTGAAGAAATATTGTACGGTTTTCAAGATCTGCTCCGGAAACGAGCACTACCGCCATTTTCAGCCTAAGGCAAAGTCGTTGTTATGGAAACTTGAATTATTTTTTTTTTTAAAATCCCCAACTCAAAAGGCACCAATTTACCACTAGACCTATCTATGTATCAAGTTTGGTGAAGAAATATTGTACGGTTTTCAAGATCTGCTCCGGAAAGGAGCACTACCACCATTTTCAGTCTAAGTCAAAGTCATTAAATTTTTTAAAAATCCCAAACTATCAAAAGGCACCAGTTCACCACTAGACGTATCCATGTGCCAAGTTTGGTTAAGATATCTCACTGTCAACTCACCAAACAAGTGTTCAGGTCGGATCTTTTCTTTCAAGAAAACAGCTGCTAGAAAGAGGTTGGCTGAAATAAAGAAATACATTTGAAGCAATGAACTACATGCCTTTTTCACCATTACTGTATTTGACGTAATAAGCACCCCGCTCTAATAAGCGCCCACGGCGATATTTGCTAATATATTGGCTAGTGAACTATCCCAAGTAACACCCCTTCCGATTGATCAATGTACACAAGGAATATTTATGCACCCTTAATTATGAGCAATTAAATTCTGGAAAATACATCAGTTGAATATAAACATTTCCGGCTGTTAGCATAAACTACGAAATTTATCTTTCAAGTCTGTTTTTGTCACCAAAATAATATTCTAATAAGAGCACACATTTCTAATTTTGAGAGCGCCCTGGGCGCTTATTACGTCAAATACGGTAATCATAATCTATAGGGTGACACAACACTGACGTCATAACTTGGCTTCAGAATTAACATCACAACAATTAACAGTGTTAAAGATTACTGTAATGTCATGTGTATAATGCACACTCCGTTTCCCAAAATATACAGCTGTGTGAAGTGAGAGAGTTGGGTTTAATGTCACATTGAGCAGTATAACAGTTATATCACAGCATGTCAGCTTAATGCGGGAGGAAAGCCCATGTGACGCATTTACCACTTTGGTCAAACCCACGAGCATGGGTATGGTGCTGACAAACCTAGAAACATAATTTGGGTGAACCAGGATTCGAACCCACAATCATAGGTTCCTGGTGTGCACAAGGGACACAACTCTGCAAAGTGAATTGTGGCGCCTTTGACGACTGAGCCCCCATACCCCTAAAGCTGGATATCGATATAGATCATAGAGATCGATAATCGTTAACACAATATCGATCAATTATGAATTTATATGAGAAAAGAAACTTTGAGTAAATAAGTCTGAAAGAAATCAACAAATTTAATGCCACACGTGAGTGGTGATACATTTGAGCGTGGATTACTTTGCGGACATTTGAGAAATAACAATAGTTGCTTTCCGTCTTTGGCAATTGACATATTTGACTATAACAAGTCTGTTTCGGAAAAGTTAAACTATATTTCATCACAATAGTTTATGTAAGTCATTATCGATGACAGAGCTTTCATATATTTTTTCCAGCTACTCCCTGGAGTAGCATATGACACAGAAATAGCATGTCAATTCTGGTTATATTTATGATACAATCACACATGATTATACTAATGTGGGCATTACACACATGAACATATGGTAGTATCAACCAATATTTTCCCAATATAGCATCCCAAACATCCCTAGTTTTAACAGGGCGTTTGCTGAACCGCCCACAGCCTGTGTATCTTGTGCGACGTACCAACAACAGTCGTTGTTCCGAGGGGAGCTACAAGTGAGGCGGGGGCAAAGCCGTAGGCCGTGAAGTTGCCCACCTCGCCCAGCCCCATTAGGATCAGCCCCAGCCACCATAGTGGGTCCCGGGTGTAGTGGATCGATTCCTCCCGAGCTTGGTTGCGATTGTGAGTAAATTTCTGAAATCCCAATTCATCAGATGAACACACACAGCAAACATAGCCACATACACAGCAAACAGCCAAATCTATAGGATCAACTGGCTTCCTTGTATTATTGAGGTACAAATATATATTCATGTCCAACAGTGGCGATACAGTATTGCATCCTAATACGAGGTTCCTGATATTATACATTGACTTACAACCAATGAACTGCCATACATATGATACATTACAAATTATATTGGTGTAAATATGGGAATAATAAGATTCAAAATGCTAAATGAAACCGTTAAACAAAATTCTTCCATTTCCTGGTTGGCTGGCTATAAATTGTATACCATATTTGACGTAATAAGCGCCCAGGGCACTCTCAAAATTAGAAATAGGGGCTCTTATTAGAATATTATTTTGTCAAAGAATAAATTTTGTGGTTTATACTGACAGCCTGAAATGTTTATATACGAGAGATATATTTTTCAAGAATTAAACTGCCCATAATTAAGGGTGCATATAACACACGAGTGCGTATTATACGCAAATAAATAAGTCTTGTGTACATTGATCAATCGGAAAGGGTGCTAATTGGGATTGTTCACAAGCCAATATATCAGCAAATATCGCCGTGGGCGCTTATTAGAGCGGGGCGCTTATTACGTCGAATACGGTAATAGTCACATGTGTACTACTGACTCACCTGTAGGTTGAGGGAGATGCTGATCAGAAGGTTGCCACCGATAGCCAACGCACTGCCTACAAACAAGTCCTGAAACACACACCAGGCTAGACTAAACACCAAGTCATCTCTTAAAGTGACATTTGGAAGCGTCATGCCAAAGACGTATATTGTTATATACATGTTTCCCCAACTTGCTGTCCAAGGGTATTATGTTGGAATTTGAGATGGCTGGTTGGTTGGTTTTTTGTTTAACGCCACACTCAGCAATATTCCAGCTATATGACGGCGGTCTGTGAATAATCCAGTCTGGACCAGACAATCCAGTAATTAATATCATGAGCATCGATCCAAGCAATTGGGATCGAGGACATACATCAACCAAGTCAGCGAGCCTGACCACCCGATCCCGTTAGTCACCTCTTTCGACAAGCATAGTCGTCTTTTAAGGCAAGCATGGGTGGAATCTGAGATGAATACAGGAGATTTACCCCAAACAGTTTTGGGACTCAACTCCAAAAAATACTAGAATCTGTACTTTACTAAGAAAGTGTTTTCCCAAATATAACATTTGTTACATTTGACCACTTTCTAAATGGCTTTGTGTATTCATAGCTTTCGGCCATGGGAGCCATGCCAATTCACACTTGTCAGAGAGGTACACAAAGTACGTGATCTTGACTACCAGTTGTCAGACCTTCATTTTTGTGGAAGCCTCGGTGCTGAGTGGGTCAGATCGCTGACTTTGTGTGCTGACGATTAGGTGCCTCACTCTGGCAGTGTGGGCTCGAATCTCGGATGGGACTCAACCCCCAAAAGTACTAGAAACTGTACTTTACAAAAGTGTTTTCCCAAATAATTTTCTAAATGGCACTGTGTATTCAAACAATTATTGACAATCAACCCATCACTACATATTCATAAATAGTTGTGTATTTCTGCCAAAGATCATAGTTACAGGGTATCACCTGGACAATATAAATGAAGAGACATCAGCAGATTTATTTCAGATTAATGAGCACCTTTTTGATTGTCATTCACAGTGCACATGCTTTTGACAAAAATATATACCATAAAGATTCTGTTACATGTCATGATCATAATAAGTGAAATAAACAAATAGACGGTTGTCATGGTTATAGTCCTGTGGAGGTGAGGTGAGGTGAGGCGAAATCGCGTTCCAAGATTATTGCACGAGAGGCCATACAATATTTTATGGTCGCTGATTGCACTTACCGTATTCGAGGTAATAAGTGCCCAGGGCGCTCTCAAAATTAGGAATAGGGGGCTCTTATTAGAATATTATTTTGGTGGAAAAAACAGAGTAGAAAGATAAATTTTGTGGTTTATGCTGACAGCCTGAAATGTTTATGTACGACAGATATATTTTTCCAGAATTTCATTGCCCATAATTAAGGGTGCATATAACACACGAGTGCATATTACACGCGAATAAATAAGTCTTGTGTACATTGATCAATCGGAAGGGGTGCTAATTGGGATTGTTCACTAGTCAATATGTTAGCAATTATCGCCGTGGGCGCTTATTAGAGCAGGGCTCTTATTATGTCAAAAACGGTATGTATCAGGGTGTGTGCCAATCTCATTAAAATCAGATCTTAGTTCTCGCTATTGCTAAACAAAGATCTGAGGACATCCCATTGTGGGTCACGTCAGACCGACCTTGCGCGAACTTTGACCGACCAATGGAATGACCAATCAGAAGGCAGCTTTCTTGTGCTTTACGGCACTAATTTCAAATTGGCGACTAAGCTTCAAAACATATTTTGACAAACTCTCGATTACAAATTTGAAACCTAAACAAAAGAACATTCTGGAATGGCTAATAGATGGTCTAGATTGTATGGATTCAGTCATTAAACTAACGTAACTATCATTCGGAACACCCCGTGTGAAAGTTTTCGAGGTTGTATGATTAGAAATCACATTCCGACTGTCACTTTCATGATCTGGTAAGTGACTCTCTGATTGGTCGGATGAAAGTTCGTTCTGATGTGACCCCTAATGGGATGTCTTCAGATCTTTGTTTAGCGGTAGTGAGGACTAAGGTCTGATTTTAACGAGATTGGGTGTGTGCCTGCTTGCACTAGTCCAGAATAATGCTGGTTCCATAGTGCTAGCCCACTGAGATACCCAACTCAGACACAGTATACCAACTCTGAGATGACCAGTCCTTTTGTTCTTCCCGTAATGCTGAGCGCCAGACAAGGTTTACAAAAAGTACAATCTTTAAACGTCTTTTGATCCACCAACTTTCCCCCCTTGGATGTTGTGTAGGAACCAGTACTTACTGATGAAAATATGACTCAACAAATATGATCAGGTGAGGTGAGGTGAAATTGGGTTTAACGTCGCGTCCAAGATTATTGCACTTATATAGCGACGTGCATGCACGTGTGTGTGTGTGTGGCTGCTTGTACTAGTCTGGACTGATGCCGATTTATAGTGCTAGCACACTGAGATACCATGCCGCAGTTTAACATGAATACCCCACTCAGACACAGTATACTGACTCCGAGCCGACAAGTCCTTGTTTTAGCCCTTTTAATGCTGAACGCCAGACAGGGTAACAAGTACCATCTTTAAACGTCTTTTTGTATGAAGCGGATGGGGATCGTACCCGGACCTTCCACTCTACAGGCGGACGCTCTACCACTAGACCACGGAGGAGGTCTAAATATGATCAGGAATATTCTGAATGAAAGTTCATCAAAATGCAGGTTCCAAGACAATGAAATTCTCAAATACTTGAACAAAAATATAGTGAAATACATTTCAACATTGTCCTAGCATGATAAACAAACTGTACCTTAATATCCGAAGCTGACAATCCTTGCATGGTTATGTATAAATTGTATATAGAACACAAACATTTCCAAGTTGAGTTTCCAGGAAATGCTGCAGCACACTAAGCATGAATCGCCCCTTGTCTGCCCACACCAGAGAGGTGTCATACACACAGGGTAGGTAATAAGCTGGCTTATACACTAAGGAGATTAACCAGTTATACCCTCACAAATTAGATTGGTGGAATGTATTTCCATATTACATGTGTATATATGATTTCATTATTGATAATCATATATTATAACTTCCTCTGTTACCACCATGACCACTGCAACAAGTTGTCTGAGTTAAGGTGAGGTGAGGTGAAATTGGGTTTAACATCACGTCCAAGATTATTGCACCTATATAGCGACATGCATGTACGTGTGTGTGTTTGTGTGGCTGCTTGTACTAGTCCGGACTGATGCCGATTTATAGTGCTAGTTCACTGAGATACCATGCTGCAGTTTAACATGAATACCCCACTCAGACACAGTATACTGACTCCGAGCCGACCAGTCCTTGTTTTAGCCCTTTTAATGCCGAACACCAGACAGGGTAACAACAGGTACCATCTTTTAACCTCTTTTGGTATGACGCGGCCGGGGATCGTACCCCGGAGCTTCGGCTCTCCGGGCAGACGCTCTACCACTTGACCATGGAGGCGGTCTGTCTGAGTTAAGAGGCAAACATATCATCCCTGGTACTGTAGTTGGGAATGAATCATTAATGGTTGTTTTGGAGACTTGATGCTAGCCTCCAACTGTTGTCAGTACATTAATATCACAGAAACCCAGACAACAAGAAACATTGCCTTCAGAACGTCATCCTGACAACTGAATCAATGGTAAAGTTTGCTACAGTGAGTTTTATGTCACTATTAGCAATATTGCTGCAGTATCACAGCAGGTGATATGAGCTTCAGAAAGGAGGCCATGGCAAGTCTAACCCTGTCACCAGTGTTATGAGGAAGCACCTACCCCACTGATACAGCCAACACCATGAGTGAGTAGTGCAATAAGAATGGCTTATGTCTCCTGCATCAACTGCAACTAACTCCCACTCGGGATAAGCTGCACATTTGCGTAAAATCTGCATTAAATAAAATGAAATATGCAGACAAATTAAATCCTAGTGTATCAAATACGCAATGAAAACTTTAAATACCCTATTTAAAAATTTTTTAATGTGTATATTATAACCATGATAACTATAAGATAAAATGACTGCATATGTTACAACAGGTAGATAACATGATTGTGTATCAGTTGATTGCCAAATTCACTTACCGACAGTTACATTCAGAAAAGCTTGAATCGCAACCAGAGGTGGACACACATGCTATCAATTTGTAAATTGACATTTTGGCATGTACATGTTTTTTTATGAAATCACACAGATTTATATGTATAATTTTAGGCAGCTTCCTTGTTTCTGAAATCAGTATGGCAAATTAAACCATTTGAACACTTACAGGAGTTGCTAAACGAAATTGTTTCAGATTTGGTACAAAACATAACTTTGCATTAAATCTTATTCAATGTCACAGGAACTTTTGTTGTTCAGTATAGATGTCAAGTGGGCTTTCTCAGCCTACCTTTGAGACTTGACATCTATGTGAAACACCTAAAACTATCTAAGTGATCAGCTGAGAAACGAACACGGGTTATAATATCCAGAAACGATACATATATTTTAAAATGTTTGATTGTTACAGAGACACATGACAAGTTTCTTTGTACAGCTGCAGACGTGTGGGATATTGTTCCTTCATGTGGATATTCACGGATATTCCTCGAACAAGGAAGCTGCCTAAAATTATACATATAAATCTGGTAGGTTGTAATTATGATATTTGCATTTTGTTTTCCTTTATTTGCTGTAGCATTGAACAGAATCATTCTTGTTCCTCTACGTCTTGGTTGGGAAATTCTTTGATGCGCGATAGACGTTTTCACAAGTCTTTTCCTTTGTAAGCATGTATATATTACAGTCAATTTGTAAAATGTGATTCTCTCAGGCAATTGATAAAATGTCAAAATATTTCAGTCATTTTGACTGAAAAATCTGTCCGTTTATTTAACAGATTGACTAAAAATGATTGAGACGGTCAAAAGGGCTTATAAAAACATCACAATAGATTAATTATGTAGGATTAGAAGCTAAACAATATAGAAATGTACTCTTCATCATATTTTCTGTCTCTTGGTGATGATATTAAAGGGGCACTGATCTAACGCAATTCCCCGGACTGGTTGTTTCCTTTGTTATTGTTTTTTCCCCCGTGAGTACCCGGATGATACGCAACGCAACTGAGCGTGACCAGAGACTGGGCTACCGTCTGCAAGGACAGCTAAATAAAGGCAATATTTGTTTTAAGCATTTTTGCATAAACACTGATTGGTTAACTGTGATCTATAAAGGTTTGCGACAAAGGGCGCATGTTAATTAATTTCTTCAGCCTAAACAAGCAGACAAAAAGAACAGCGGAGCTCATCGGATGTCGTCATTTGGAAATACCCCAGATGGTTATAGTTTTATACTAAAAAAAGTATCCATGCAGTGAAAGCATTTTCGGATTTCGGCTTGCGTCGATAATACGATTACTACTCCCTTGTTGTCATCCACGTTTTCTCATATAACCCTTCACTTGTGGATTTTTCGTCATTCACTTGATGCTCAGTTAATGAATTTATTACAGGTACAATTAGTGGTAGCACCACTTAGATAACCTGACAAAGGTTCCCATTTGGCATTTATTGTGTCTGGGGTAATTATTTAATCTAAATCCAGGGTTGAAGTGAGGTGAAATGTGTGTTATGTAATATGCACGTGGCAGCCCAGAAAGAGATGAATGATCAGTTGATTTATTTTTTTGTAAATCAACGGAACGTTCCTAGTCATCAAAGGATTAACAGAAAATACGTTGATTGATTAATCACTGTTATCTTGCACAGTGGATATGTCAAGAGTGAGTGTTTACATGTCTAGGTTTACTAAAACAAAGGGAATACACTCATACCATTGTGTGAAGTGCCGGTGTAAAAACAACATACTTTGTTCAAAGGGTTAACTTATAATACGTTGATTGATTGATCATTGTTATCTATCACTCAATGGATTTTTTAGGAACCGTGAACGTTATGAAAATAGTTGTCACGTGGGCTTTCTCAGCCGACCATTGAGACTTGACACCTATGTAAAACACCTGAAACAATCCAAGTGATCAGTTGAGAAACGAACACGGGTTATAATATCCCGAAACGATATATATCTTTTAAAATATTTGATTGTTACTGAGACACGTGACATCGAATAAGTTTCTTTGTACATCTGCAGACGAGTGGGATATTGTTCCTTTGTGTGGATATTCACGGATACATTCCTCGAACAAGGAAGCTGCCTAAAATTTATACACATAAATTTGGTAGGTTGTAATTTTGATATTTGCATTTTGTTTTCCTTCATTTGAACCGATTCGTTCTTGTTTCTCTACGTCTTGGTTGGGACATTCTTCAATGCGCGATAGACGTTGTTTTCACAGGTCTTTTCCTTTGTAAGCGTGTATATATTACCGTCAATTTGTAAAATGTGATTCTCTCAGGCAATTTATAAAATTTGTAAATATTTCAGTCATTTTGACTAAAAAATCTGTCCAGATTGATTAAGACGATCAAAAAGGGCCTACAAACATCACAACAGATTATTATGTAGGATTAGAAGCCAAACAACATAGAAATGTACTTTTCTCAACGTAACATTTTCAGTCTCTTGGTGATGATATTAAACATCAAAATGTTTGGAATTCGTTATCATAATAATACAGATGGAAATGTTTTCAGTCGCTTTGTAAAATAACTGAATATTTAGACGTTTAATAAATTTGTTACACATTTGACAGTAAAAAAAAATTCACACTATAAAATAAGCAATGCTCAGGTGAAATATTTACTTTGTGTTGCAAGTCAAAATAGTGTAAACGAAAATCGCAAAATTACCAAGCAAGTGACTTATCAAAACTTCGTCACCATTACCGATGCTACCCACAAAGATACCTACATTTCCTTATTATCTCGAAAACTGTATTTCATTTTGTTGATCAATGTGACCATAGGCCCTTATTACTACCCATAAAAGCGACTAATGCGCTTACGAATGGCGCAGCAGAGGTCGCAAACTAGTCTAGATTTCTGCTATACATCCGGGTACTCACTGGGAAAAAACAATAACAAAGGCAACAACCAGTCCCGGGGAATTGCATTAGATCAGTGCCCCTTTAAACATAAAAAGTTTGGAATTCGTTATCATAATAATACAGATGGACATTTCCTGAGTGAAAAGTTTGCACATTTTGACTGTAAAAATATAAACACATTAAAATAAGCAATGCTCAGGTGAAATATTTACTTTGTGTTGCAAGTCAAAATAGTGTAAACTAAAATCGCATAATTACCAAGCAAGTGACTTATCAAAACTTCATCACCATTACCGATGCTACCCACAAAGATACCTACATTTCCTTATTATTTCCAAAACTGTATTTCATTTTGTTGATTAATGTGACCATACGCCCTTGTACTATCAATAAAAGTGACTAATGCGCTAAAGAAATGCGCAGCACAGGTCGCGATTTGTCTAGGTTTCTGTGGTATATCACTGAATTGTAAATTTAATAAAATGCAAATATTTCCTTTACTGTACGATATCATTTATGTTTAAGGCCTAACAAAAAAAGTTGTTCCAATTACAGGAATTTTTAAAATAGGGTAGGTAGAGATTCTTCATATTTTTTAAAAACAATTTAGATCTCTAGTTCCAAGAGGACAAGGACTGTAAAACTGAATACTTTGCTCTGTGTCATCCTGACATGAATCATTTTATGACAGGTACTGTATCTTGTGGTAAATTAAAACGTATTTAAAACAAAATATTCTCATTTTAAAGTAGCGGGTAAATGTCTTCATTTGTATTGTCTTCAAGTGACAGAACAACTTGATTTACAAGAAAGTCTACTAGCCCAAATAGTGACGACATACAGCCATACCCCTCACAGTGTTGGAAAAACCTGCTAGCCAAAATAGTGACAACATACAGCCATACCCCTCACAGTGTTGGAAACTCTACTAGCCCTTAGGGCACCTTTAGCATTAACGAAGCTGGCCCCGCACGACAATCTCGCATGTTGAGACGCCGAACGCTAACACCGTGGCCCTGTGACGCAGGGGTAGCATTATGCAGATGGCTATCACAATGAATGCTCGTTCCACCCGTGACAAACAGGTCTGGTTGTTGATGAAATATAGTGATAGCTAAATAGACAGATTTTTTATTCATGCACCAATTGTCTTTAAATGTAATATTCAGTTATGTATGACTGTTTAATAATCTCATACCAACTTTGACTGGAGTAGGTCCAATAGGTTTTCAGATATTGTAGTAAACGTCGGTACCTTAAATTACCTTCCAGACTATACCACACATATCATACCACAAAACAGCCATACCACGATAACATAGAGTTTCCTACCCTTGAGTTGCTAATGACACATACTTTGTTTACCAAACTCAGTTAAGAAAATAAGGATCAATCAATCCTAATTGATGTGTCATAAAGGTTGAACAATGAACAAGAAACATTTAGCATATGACATATTTAATGGGTTAGTATGCGTGCGCCAAAATTAACTACCGCGATAATATAGCGTACCATGCTACTATCAGCATATATACTGGCTAGCAACCAGTTATCGGTGAAGACCAATTATCGCCAACTCCTTGTTAATATAGCGTGCACGTGAGCACACCTCATTTTACATTTGCTCGTTTTCATTAGAAGAGAGAAACATTTATCCAAAAATGATCAACAAAACAGATTCTTGTGAGGAAATATTTAAAAAACACACCATACAATCACCTTGCTCAAATACAACTTTAAAAAAGACGTGGCGGTGTCATGTGACTAATTCATGAGAAAATCAAAATCAAATAACATGATGTGTTGATGATGCTATTTCAGTTCTGTCTTTGTTTTCTATATGTCTGTCATTTCTCCCTTTAAAATACAATTCTAAAAACTATTTGAGCTATTTTTCCAAATGCATAAACTGTATATATTGTGAAATGCATAGTACATACTATATATGTGTTAAGGATAAGCATGTGTAGATTGAATTTGGGGAATATTGGTTTTTGTCACTTTCAGATGAAAAATTGATAATAGCATTTCTTATTAATTTTGATGAAAATGATGTGAAGATTTGTTTTATATGGTAAATAATGGAGATATAATGGCCCTGCGTTAAATAAGCAGTCACTTCAAGGACATACATGATAATGCAAGGACGGATAGTAAATAAATCTGCATCTGCAAAACTGTAAAGAGACGAGAATAAAACAACTGGCCTGCAGAATGAAATGACAAGATTGACAAGCGCACCTGATCATGAACTGTGTCGTTAGATGAATCTGTCATTCTTCTGACATTAGTTCACTGCATAATATTCGAAATAACCTGTTTCGTGAATACGTTGGAGTTCAAATGCAAGAAATCGTTGAATCAAAGACACAGTCTGTTGACATTTCCTATCTGATCGACGATGGAAAATTGTGCGGCCATGTTGGACCGTATGTTTATGTAGATGCCATTACTGAGAAAACGAATGCTATATTGTAAGATGATATTATGTTTAAAGAAGAAACATATCATGATTGTACATAACTATATTTAGAAGTGTACTTATATATCTGTCTGTTCTCATGATATTTCGATATCACCATTCAAAAGTCATATATGAGGAAAGGTCTGAAAATGAACTTTTACAGCTAGAAGTAGTTGTTGATCTACTAGCATCAAGTTCATTCTCGCTCATTCACAAGCCCCTTGTCGAGGATAGAACGAGACTTTCATGAGAGGATTCTGTGTCAAGTTACATGTGTCTATTGCTGATAAACCGTCTCTGTGGAAAATTGAGTCGTCGATCAGAACATTCGTTCTTCTCTTTTCCTTTATTCACAAGCGTGTCAATCGTGTGTATGGGCACGAGTTCCTCCCAAGAAATGCCTCCACCAGTGGTAGTTCCGCCTGGCTCTGCTCCGCATAGAGGAACAGTGAGTACAAAATACAGCATCACCAAGTCAATATTGATTCTGTTATTTGATTTACATCAGGCTTACTAAAATAACCAATTGTTGTTGATTCTAGAAATATTAGAGAAGTCCAAATGAGTGTAATAATATTAAAGAATATTTTCCTAGTATGTTGTCATATATTTTTTTCTTGTCACGCTTGTTGCTCAAGGTGTACAATTTAAGATGTTATATTCAAACCTCGTATTATTTTCAGTATGAATAAATACAAGTCTTAAAGAAACATAGACAGCACAAATAGTTAACCATTTTCAGTAAATTCCTTGTGGACTTGTGATGTCATGAACTGTCAACAAGAAGAATTATTTGCAACCTTGTTAGAAGCAGCAGTGTAGTATATATAGTATTATATAGTGCAGTGTAGATTACCCTTACTTAGGAACTCTATTGCCCATCCAGTGATGGCAAAGAAGAACATTATCTTTAAAAATTTACTTTACTTTTAAAATTACATCTCTTCTCGGTATACCTATGGAGGCATGTTGCTGTCAGTTGCCCATTTTGAGTCGAGATGTGGATGTGTAAATTATTTCTGCGTGAAACCTTGATATTGTCTCTGTATCCGAAGGATAATTGAGCTAACAGATGAACAGCTTAGGTTTACAGGCATATATCTAGGTGTTGACATAGGTCGATATTTGGTGCAGATGCCAGTACAAATTCCCAATAAGGAGCAAAAATTATTATGACAAATGATCTAGCTCTATAGAGATGCATTGTCATCCTAGTCACAGTAAATACAGAGAAAAGGTTAAGACTCTAGTTTTACATAAATGTGTTGTATGCATTGAGTGCAAGGTTGAAGTAACTTAATGAAATAATTATAGGCATGATGACGTTATTTCCCATTTTGCATGCCACAGACATTTAGTTTTAAATGCTAAATAAATCCCCGATTCAATCAAACTTGCAAGGACTGCCAGTTTGCACTCGCATGTAAATTGCCAATTTCTATCCTTGCAATTTGACAAGTTATTTCAGTAAAGAAGGATGTTGTGAACACCTCGACATGAGATGGTTTCAAAACGCTACTAAAACATGTTTGGATTAATTATGTGGTGTCGGCTATGTAGCCTGAACCTGCATTCTTGTTGTCTTTGAATATCAATGTAAACTGTTGTAAATACATTGCAAATGATGCTTTGTGCTGACATGTCTGATGAATTATGTATAGAATATGAACTTTTTGTCCCCCAAAATAGTGATTAATGGATTCAGTATGGGGATGTGTTGGGTGTTACAAAGCAGCAATAATAATTTGCATAAAAACTTCATTTGACACAAGTGCTTGTAGTCAGAAACAGAAGATAGCGGTGATGATCATTTCGACTAAACCAAACAGTATTTTCTTTCCAGTGGAAACTGGTAGCTTTTCTGTTCTCATTAAATACAGTTTGGTATCAATGAATCCAAAATATATATTTATTTACTCACTGTCAAAATATCCAGGAGTGTTGACTCTGCGACTGGTATTCTTTGACTGATGACATTTAGCACTGCTTTATCTATGTCTTGATCTAGTAATAATGGTGGAGTTAGGAGTTGTAAATTGGACACTGATTTTCAGTAATTTCAACTCTTCCAATCTCCACCATTTTTAAAGTAAGAAGAAATCCAAATTCTCTTGTGTTGTAACATGTTTACGTTGGCATGAAAGTGTGACCTTACCATGTTTTTGAGACCAGTCTACTGTGGTGATAAGGACCAAGCATTCACGGTAAATGCAAGTTAATCAATATCATCTGAATGGTAGCCAGTGTCACTACTGTTTATTGATGTGTGAACGTGGTGCAGTTTTATCACCCATGTCTATTAGGCTACAGCAGATTGATTGTTTGTACTTCGGATTTGCTGCTACCTGGTCTTTATTACTTGCCTTTCTTCTTGTGTTGGAATTGCTTGTTACACTGAGTGATAACTTTTTTGAATTTGCTAATGGCTCCAGATAATGTTTTGAGCCATTGCAGCGTTAGAAATTGGCACTAGTCCTGTAGGCCTCGCCAAACTGCCCAATAGTTAAGGTATCATAAGGACCAGTAGAAATTTGCCATTTTTAAGGGTTTAGCTACATGTTATTATTATAAGCTAGTGGACTAAATAACTTGCCATTGTTATGGGTTTTGCTATATATATGTTGTTATTATTAGAAGGATTAGTGGACGAAGAATGTTAGTTTCTACTGCTGCATTGAGTATTTACCCACAAATTATCATTCACATTGGGTATTGATAGTTATCTTTTGTTATTCCACATGTTTTTTCTCCCATGGGTCCATTCTGTTGGATATTTTTGCACCAATGAGTAGACATTCAACAAAAATAATACTGCTTAAAATGCTGTTTCAGGTGACCTCTCATTTGTGACTGTTTTGTCACAAGCGTTACATATTGCATAAACTTACACAGTTGATACATGTATCGAATTAACAATAATCATAATTTTTATGCATTTAAAGTTGAGTTCATGTATGTGTGATGTCTGTCAAAAAAAGTCTGTGGAGAAAGAAAGGAATGCAAGTCGAAAAGGATACATTGGATAATTACAGAGTGCTGCTATTCAAAATTAATTGGGTAATGGTGACTTCTGTTCTTTACATTTGCATAAGCTTATCATGAGGACGCGATGTTAAACCCAATTTCACCTCACCTCACTTTTTTTTTAGGACTGTTGGTGCTGTTTGTGACCCAGTGAGGGATGTTATTCTGTTGTCACCATGGCAGTCCGCTCTGGTGCACATGCCTGGAATACGTGCACCATCATACGTGTCATGTTGATGTAAATAACCAACACGGCAAGTGTCGGACGTGTCAAACTCGAGGCAGGGAATCAAAATGAACTACACATTTAACCTGTTTAATAATATGAACATGCATTAGTATTCAAAACAATAATCAGGCGGTGGGGTAGCCTAGTGGTAAAGCCTTCGCTCGTGACGCCAAAGACCCAGGTTCGATTCCCTCTTCCCCCCCCCCCCCCCCCCCCCACCACCAATGGGCGACTTTGCCTTGTGTGAAGTCCATTTTCGGTGTCCCCTGCTGTGATATTGCTAGAATATTGCTAAAAGCGGCATAAAACCTCACTCGCTCACTCATTCACTCACTCACTCAGTCAATCGGCTGTGAAGATCTGGGGTAGTATAGGTCTTTAGCATTGTCTGGTCCTGACTTGATTATTTACAGACCGCCGTCATATAGCTGTAATATTGCTGAGTGCAGCGTAAAACAAACAACTAACTCACTCACTCAAAACAAGAATCAATGATTTTGCTCGAGACAAATGGCATTAGAATATTTTCATGATCATCCTTGGATCAGACACTCTTCTACCATGTCTACATAATTACCAAATTTGGTACAAGATTTAAGGACATTTTCACTGCAAGAATGCATATGATATGTAATAGGCGGAATAAGATATGTAACATGTTTTTAGTTAGGTCACTAAGGTGAAAAATCTTTACAGACTGGATTAAGCATGAAACTTTGCATAACTATTTGGAATATCATTCTTAACAATAATTTAGGGCGGTGCCCGACCCACATGACCTAGTTTTGGAAAAATCCAAGATGGCATCCAAGATTGCCACCATTTACCTGTAGAACTACTAAATCTGTCCATTACAAACAAAAAGAAGAGTTTTTTTTATGAATCAAACCACATTTATGCATCAAATAGCATGTGACACGGTCATTTATACATTCAAGTCAGTTTTTAAAATTAAAAATTACAGATAATTATCAATATGTACTTACATTGTGTTTTCATGTGAGACATAGCATATTACATTGTAAATCTTGTATGAAACTGATTTCACAGAATCATCGTCAATTGAAACTTCAAAAAACGTTTCATAAAAGATATTGAATAAAATCAACATATCCATTTCCTTTGGATATGTGTATCGACTGTCAGTCACTAGTCACCACACTGTCTTTTACAATGACAAAGGTATGTGCATTGTAAATGTGCTGATTTGCAGATACATTTGCGGGAACATATAGGATCTGTTTTGCAGCCACACTTGATTAATTCTCTACAACACTTTGCAGCCTCGGGTAATGTCATCCACTCTTGTGTCCATACTGGATCCGGGGGCACGGGTGGCCCAGTCGTCTAAGGCGCCGCGATTTGCTGTGCAGAGTTGGGTCCCTTGGGCACGCCAGAAACCTATGATTGTGGGTTCGCATCCCGGTTCGCCCTGATTATGTTTCTAGGTTTGTCAGCACCATACCCGTGCTCATGGGTTTCACCGAAGTGGTAAACGTCTGAGACCTGCATCACTTCGGGCTTTCCTCCCACATTAAGTTGACACGCCGCGATATAACTGTAATACTGTTAAAAGCGGCGTCAAACCCAACTCACTCACTCACTCATTCTGGATCCTTGATACTAGTGCTCTTTTTCCAACCAAATTGTTCAGGACTCGGCACATTCTGTATTGACTGTAGGCTCGACACCCAGATGCTTGCTTGGAGGATGCATCTGTTAATGTGTTGTAATAATGCATCCCGTGTAGGTGGAAGATTTTGCATCATTTTCATCTTTTTTCCTTGACAGAAAAGTTCCTGTCTCAGTTCATTGATGTTGTCCTGATCGGTTGTACCGTGCTACAGTATGCATGTGAATCTCTCCAGAAGTGGAAAATAGATGTTCGTTGAATCAATGTCTTCAAAAGGTTGATCAAAAGCTACAGTAAATCCATCTGTTGCTTCTTGATATGCTTCCCAGGATTTCCATGCAGACTTTTTTCCTTGACCACTGAACTGTGATGTTGTATCTGAACCAGTGAACGCATGAAAGAATGGAAGTGCTTTTGCTCTTTGTTGGCCGAGATCATCAAAGATTAATCTTATATGATAATATCTAAAGTTTTTGCCTTTACCAACAGCAACCCAAACTTGTACAGACGAGTTTTGGCATTTCAGTTCTCCAAAGATACTAACCAAGACAACTATGACGTC